CACCACCGTCAATCCTCAACACACCCTACAAAGTAGAAACTGCTCTGTGGTTAAACTAAGATGTGAAAGATGGGATAGCCATCGGGGATCACATGGCTAGTCACTGGCAAAGTGAGTTCACAGCCGGAGTCTGCCCATGCCGTTTCTGCCCTCCTGCCTCTTCCAAGGAAATGATTGCAGACCGCTAGCTTGTTGCCGTGGTCCTAGATTGGACTTCACTCTTTTTTATGCACCTCCTCCCCACTTCCAAGCTCTGATCTCCCATAGTCCTAGGAGAGGAGCCAGTGCGTCAGTCCACATGACTGTTCTGTTTCTCACTGTACATTTGCAGGTAGGTATTCTAATTTCATCACCGGTCTAATGGAAGCATGGTAAACGCCTTTTGTACTGTCTTCATAAATTGCCTGTGCAGTTTAACCTCACCAAGGAACTAGCTCAAGCGCTAGGATTTGTCCCTCTCACTTCAGGTTCAAGATGATTCATCTCCAAGCACCTTCAGACTCCCCTGCCCTGGGTCAGGCTGCTCCTTGACTCTGGAACAGGTTGAAAATAGAACAAAATAGCTCAGTGCAAAGTGAAAGCATTGTGCCTTTGAGAGCACTAAAAGGTTGTTGCGTCTCCAGAACATAAAATGCCTGTAGAGGGAATGGCTAAGGGGAATCTTCTCTGCCCCCAGTCGGTGACTCTGACATCACAGTTTAACACGGCTTCCTTAGCTGCTTTCTGCTGGATGTTGTAAACATTCATTGGGAGATGTTTGTATGTTCTTCTTGCATCTCTATCTGCTTCTTTGGTGTAGCAATATATTGTTTGTAATCTAAGAAATAAAGCTTGCCTAAAGATCAGATAACAGAGCTAGCCACAGAATTAGCCATAGAGGCCAGGCGTGGTGGCACACTCCCTTAATCCTAGCGCTCAAGAGGCAGAGGCAGAGATCCGTCTGAATCTCTGTGAGTTCAAGGCCACACTGGGCTACTTGAGTAGTCTAAAAGAGAAGCAGAGCCAGGCAGTGGTGGCACACACCTTTAATTCCAGCACTTGGGATCACACACCTTTAGTCCCAGCACTAGGAAGGTGGAGACAGGAAATGATACAGCTGGGCAGAGAAAGGAGTACAAGGCGGAAGGAGACAGGAACTCACTCTCTTTCAGGCTGAGGAGTTGGTGAGGTAAGAGGTGGTGGCTGTGGCTTGCTCGGCTTCTCTGATCATTCAGCTTTCACCCTGATATCTGGCTCTGGGCTTTTATTAAAAGACCAATTAGGATTCATGCAACACTTGGGCTCCTTCAAAACTAAAAGTACAGCAATGGTAGATCTTTCTTCGAACTATGAAAACCACAAAAAGACTTTTCATTGTCCTGTGTTTTCTGTGGGACTCGCCTGGGAACTTGCAAAGTCTCATACTCCTACAGTATGTATACAGGTAATACTAACTTATTACATGATGTAAAGTTTGGATTCAACTCTCTTTTAATATGATGATAAGTTTACTGGTTAATGTTACTGTGTCTCATGGTATTAAGAGAAAATAAAAAGGAATCAGTAAGTAGGGGGGAAAAAAGAAATGTCAGAAAGATGTAAGGACTGAAATGCTTTTAGTAAAGATGGACTTGCATTTGGGGGTTAAGACAACAGATGTTTTCCAGAATGGGGTGGAAAGCCTAAGCAAGTCACAAAACTCTAAGTTATGTAAGACATTGGAAAATGAGACTCAGATAGCTAAGGAAGATTATTTAAGAGCATTTGGGCTTTGCCTCAGCTTTAGATAGTACACACTGGCTGGAAGTGTCACGCTGATGTAACTGACCTTCTGGCTATTTAATAAACATACTTGGAGGCTATCCTAATGTGGAAAGAGGAATTAGAAGGGACATTCTGCCCCTTGTCCTCCAAAGTCAACTAGGTCCCAGGGACTGGGAGATGTCTCTCAAAATACCCTCTAAACCAGGTGAGTCAACTGTTCTTTTGTTTGGGGAAGCCATGGAGACCACACTGGGTGGACTCTAACCAGTCTGCACTCTACACAGAAGGTCAACATGGAGGAAAACCTTCCTCCATCCTCCTGGTGAAGCCATTGCTAAGCAGGGCTCGAACTAAACCTCACAGCAATGGAACAACCATAACAGGAAGGCCAAAGGAGCCAGGGACTCCTCAGCAACCCAGAAGACCAGACCTTCAACCAGCCTTAATAAAAAAATAAATAAAATGATTGATTTTGGCCTCCTCCATGGTCTTAAACACACAGCAAGAAAGTATCACCACAAGTAAGATTACTGACAATAATATAAAACAAACAAATAATAGGCCAGGCCTTCCAGTGCTCTGGATGGTCTACAGACAAGCCACCCCAGTTATAATCAGGACTCTCATCCTTTTCTTAGCCGTAAACACATTGCTGTTTTTAGATTCCTGCTTTTGTTTCCTTCACTCTACAAAATCAGACTAAGACCATGTCAACATCCCCATCTCAATGGTAAAAAGCCTTAAAACTGGAGATCCAGGTCTTCATGGTAAAATTGGTTTAAGTCTATTATGATCTTAGTACTGATGCTGTTAAACTCTAAACCGTGTGCACTCAGCTCCTGTCTTAATTTTATCTACTCTTTACAGTTTGTTCACACTCAGATGGTCCTGGAAGCCTCTATCTCATCTCCTTGATCACCCCCCAGTGCCTGAAAGTCAGTTGAGTGGGGATACTGAATCCTTCTCCACCCCCAGTATCAGCTAAATCAATCAGATTGACTCTGTGTCCATCTCCTAGATGACTTTAGGGTTTTAATCTTTAGTGGAGAATGTTAGATAGCTAGATAATTATTAGCAGGCTTGGAAGCCATCGAGGAAGGAGCCCTCCTTCATGCCGTCTTCTCTCTCCAAAATTTACATTAGGTAGCTAACTGGCAGCCTTGGAGACCATTGAAGAAGGACCCTTCCTTCACAGCATCCTTGTCCTCCAAAATTCTGATACCACAGACTGCTCCAAGAACCCCGGATGAGGATGACAACCTCGCCCAGCAGGAAAAAGATAAACAGACCACAGCTGTACCTTCTCCACCCATCTCTAGAAACCAAAATCATGAATGTTAGCTGTGGGAGGCCAGCTCCCACCTTTTCAATGGGTTCTTATGAGGAGGAGAGAGGAATAAGAAAATACTAAATAGAAAGATAGCGCAGAGGAGAAAGACAGAAACACAGGACAGCTTTGGGAGGACCTGGGTCAATACCCAGTGGCCTTTTCATTTATTCAAAAGGGCTTTTTATAACAATGCCAAGAGGCGGGGCAAAAGACCCCCCCCCCTTGCTAGATCAAAGCACGCCGCACAACCAAGTGCAGACCCTTCCAAACATCTAGTAACCACGCCTGTGGTCAAATCATTCCCTTATGCAGCCCTGCTGGGTAAAGCAAGCTCAGATTCTCAGACCCTGAATAAGTTCTTACTAGGAAACCTCTGTGGGTCTTTACAGTTAGCCATGGCCAACTTCATTTTAAAAAGTTCTTATATTTTGGTTAAATAGTAGCAGTTTCCACAATCCATAGTAATTAGCATTCCAGAACCAGATTCCTGTCCCATCCCACCCCTGAAGACCCTTGATATTGGCTGTTCATAAGAGATGATTTTGGGGTCACCTGGAATTTTTTTTTTCAAGATAGAGTTTCTCTGTGTAACAGTCCTGGCTGTCCTAGATCCCACTCTGTAGACCAGCCTCAAACTTGGAGATCCACCTGCCTCTACCTCCCGTGTACTGAGATTAAAGGCGTGTGCCACCACCACCCGACAGAATTCTTTTACTGCTCACCATTCTGTTGCCACTCCTAGTGACAGCCAATCTTGAGCCAAAATAAAAAGGGGGGAGCTTTCACCCTTGTCCCCCACACCCTGCTTCTGCCCTGTAACCACCCCAGTTTGTAAGCGTTTGAAGGCTCAGATTTTTACAGAGACCTCCCCTTCCAGGTTCCTCCCAATAAAGACAGGCACTGTCTTAAAAAAAAAAAAATGTGGTATCCCTGTGATGGTTAGTGTTTTGCTGTCAAATGGACACAATGTAGAATCGCCTGGGGCGGGAGTATCAGTGGGGAATTGTCTGGCTGATGCTGGCCTGAGAGCATGCCTGTGAGAGCTTCTTAGTTGGGTCAGTTGAGGTGGGAAGACCCACCCTGAATGTGGCCGGCACCATTTCATAGATGGGCCCTGGACTGAATGAAAGGGAGAAGCAAGCTGAGCTCTGGCTTGCACGCTGTAGTTCACTGCTCTCTGCTCCCGACTGAAGTGTGCTGTAATCCGTTCCCTGGGGCTCTTGCTGCTGTGACCTCCCTGCAATGATGAACGGTGACCTGGAACTGTGAGCTGAAACAAACCTTCTCTCCTCTACCTTGCTTCTGTCAGGACAGTCACGGGAAGTGAAACCAAGTCACCCCAAATACCCAATGTCTGTAATTTCTCCAGTGTGCTTATTGGAGCTAATGGAAAGCATTGTTTTGTGGGGGCATTCATCCTGAGAATCTACTGGAACCACTCAAGAGCACGCCATGAGGAAAGTTCAGATTTGCAAAATATCTGTCATTTCCCCCTGAAATGCCAGTTTATTTAGTAGACATTTGTTTCTAACACTGTCTTCTATAGGCTTAAGTGCGTGTAAGATCCATCAGGCCACTTATATTAATAGTTGCTCTAAAAGAACTCTGGACTACACTGTTGATACCCAGCCCTTCTACGCTCCATGTCTCAAAATGCTTTGTCCCTTCTTAAACATATCACTGAGTGTATGAAGTTGAACGTTTTCATGAAAACCGTCTGGAATCTTTATGCTAGGACCAGACAATGATGACCTGTTTTAATCCTGGGGTTTCCTACTCAGAAGGTGGCAGTAATAACAGATTTGAATCGTGGTTTTATAAAATACCTGGGGGTTTTTGTTGTTGTTGTTCTCAGTTGGACTTTCGATCTTGGAAGATTTTGGTGGATTCTTACCTTAATTATTAATACCTGCTCATTTGATTTCAGTGGTACAGGCATGGATGGGAAGAAATGCAGCGTATGGATGTTTCTACCTCTTGTATTCACTTTGTTTACCTCAGCTGGCTTGTGGATAGTGTGAGTATGCTTTAGTTAATAATTAAGGATTCAAGTGTAATAGAGAGAAAATCCAAGTTTTAGTACTAGGACATATTTATATAAATGTATTTATGAATAACATATTATATATATATAATGGTTAGTTTTTCTAAAGTAAATATCTATATGCTAATTCAAACTTACTGAAGTTCCTTTTTTCTCATCCTTTATTACTTAAAGTAAAATAACAAAACTGAATAAAAAATTATTTAAAGTAGATAATGAAGACTGGTTTTGTCTCCTCTTTTCCCTCCCCCCTCCAACATCCTCCTTTAATGCAATGTAAACTAGGCTGGCCTTGAACTTGCAACAGTCCTCCTGCCTCTGCTTCCTGCATGCTGAAATTACAGGCATGTGATGCTTTTCGTTGTTTTTAGGTCAAGTCTCACTGTATAGGCTGGCAGGAAGCCTGTACTGGGATGACTGGCATGTACCACTGTCGTTCATGTTTGGAAAACTGATTATATGAGTTCATATTTGCAAGATTTTCTCATTTAACACCGATGTGCTGTGGGCTCCATTTGCAATCTAGTTGTGACAAGATCTGAGGTGTTTTTAAAACAGTTATCACTATGCTGGAAGGCCTGGCTTACCACCCAAAACAAGTACCCATAGTTGCTGATTTCAATCAATATCCATCTTAATAAAACTCATGAAGGCCAGGCGGTGGTGGTGCATACCTTTAATCCAGGCAGAGCTAGATGGATCGCTGTGAGTTCGAGGCCAGCCTGGTCTACAGAGTGAGATCCAGGACAGGCACCAAAACTACACAAAGAAACCCTGTCTCAAAAAACCAAAAAAAAAAAAAAAAAAAAAAAAAAAGAAAGAAAGAAAAAGAGAAAGAAAAGAAAGAAAAAGACTCATGAAGAATGGTTTCACTGCACTGGAGCTGTAGGTCAGTGAGAGAGCGCTTGGATGGCACATACAAAGCCATGGGCTTGGTCTTTGCTACTTCTATTGCTGTGATAAAACACCAGAGCCAAGGCAACTTATACAAGGAAGCATTTGATTTGCGGCTTCCAGTTTCAGAGTGTTAGAGGCAATGATTGTAGAGCAAAGGCCGGGAGGCTGGAAAAGCTGGGAGAACACATCTTGATCCATAAGTAGGAAGTAGAAAGAACTGAATGAGAATGGTGTGAGTCTTTTGAACCTCAAAACCCACCTTCAGTGACTCCTTCCTCAATAAGACCACACCTCCTAATCCCTCCCAAACAGTTCCACCAACTGGGGACCAAGTGATCATTCTCATTCAAACCACCACAGGCTTGATTACCAGGAGAGGAAAAAAAAATAACAACAGAAAAAGGGAAAATGATAGTCATACATTCCTGAGAAACGTTATTAAAGCTATCATGTTTATCTCCCACCCCCAATTTTCAGATTATAATTATCACTGTTTGGGGTCTCTTTTGAAAATTAATTAACTCTTTTAAGGAGTTTTTAAATTATGCATATGTCTCTGTGTGGGTATGTACATGTGAGTGTAGATGCATGGGGAAGCTGGAGGCATCAGATTCCCTGGAGTTGGAGTTACAGGAGTTGTGAGCTCCTGACATAGATGGTGAGAACTGAACTCAGGTCCTCTGAAAGAACAGCACATGCTCTTACCTGCTGAGCCACATCTCCAGGTCCCAATAATCACAGCACTTGAGCCTTAAAGAACTAGTGATCTATGGGTAAAGAACTGAAATTGGCATGGTTGTGGTGATGCACACCTATAATCCCAGCCCTTGGAAGGCTGAAACAGGAAGATTGTAGGTTTTAGGCTAGCCTGAGCTACATAACAAATTCCATGGCAGCCAGTGCTATAATGAGATCCTGTCCCAAAAAGAAAAATAAATGTAGTTAAAGATCTTTTCTGTTTTCTGGTTGGTTGGTTGGTTGGTTGGTTGGTTGGTTGGTTTTTGGGATAGTCTCATGTAGCCCAGACTGGTCTTGCACACCCTATGTAGCCAAGGATGACCTTGAATTTCTGATCCTGGTGTCTCCATATCCCAAATATTGGAAATACAGTTTTATATGTGCAAACATGCTTAAATAAAGACGTTTTCTTAATTAGGAAACAATGGATATGACATATACCTGTGATATGGGTAAATTAGATGTTAAACCCAATTAAAATGAGAAACATTAATTCTTAGGGGTTTTTTTTGTTTTAAATTGTTTTGCTTTATAAACTGCTCATTCTTTCTTGCTAGGTACTTTATAGCTGTGGAAGATGACAAAATCTTGCCATTAAATTCAGCTGCAAGGTAAAGATTGCATCTAGAGGATTCGCTGTTTCCCCATAGAGTTAGCAGCGGCTCTGCCTTAACCTGTGTCTCTGTGTTTTTTGTTATCTAGGAAATCTGGTGTGAAGCATGCTCCGTACATCAGGTAACTCTGGTTCCACCTGACCTGTTGAATTGAAGAAAAGTGCATGTCAGATCTGTGAAGTTCCAGGTCTGCAGAGCCAGCCTCTAAGGCTACGTCTTTTTCCAGTTTTGCAGGCGACGATCCTCCTGCGAGCTGTGTGTTCAGCCAAGTGATGAACATGGCCGCCTTCCTAGGTAAGGCGAGCAGGGACGGGGCTGGATGGGCTCTGCTGCATTTCTGTTTTAAATCCCCCTGAATCCGTATCAAAACAATGGGGGACCTGGCCTACAATTTAGCGTCATGTCGTGTCCGTATGCTGAAGGCAGCTTTTTGTGTTCAGGACCCTTTCCCCCTCGTAAATCCTTCTGTATTCCCTACCTTTTCCCTTTACCATCTTTATCTGGGGCTTCATACTCTGAACTTCCTTTTGCTGTGTGAGATAATAAATTTCACGTGTCATAAAATCTTGCTCAGACGGTAATAGGATGCCACATGGTAGCTTTGAAGAGGATGCCTTATTTATTCCTTCCCTGGTGAAGATGAGTGTAGCAAGCTTTCTTTTGGGTGGGCAGCCAGCCAGCCCCCAAATCATGACATGGAGACTTATTAGTTACGAGTGCTCGGCCTTATCTTATGCTTGTCCCACTAGCACTTATAACTTAATTTAACCTGTTTCTCTTCATCTACATTTTGCCTCAGGGCTTTTTACCTTTCTTTCATTCTGTGGGTTCTACTTTCCTGCTTTCTCCGTGTCTGACTGGCTGGTGGCTGCCTGGCTGGCTGGACCCATGCACGTTCCTCTCTTTCTCCCTTGTCCTCACCTTCTCTCTCTTCCCACTTATTCTCTCTGCCCATCAGCCCTGCCTATTGCTCTCCTGCCTAGCTATTGGCTGTTCAGCTTTTTATTAGACCAATCAGGTGCCTTAGGCAGGCAAGGTGAACAGGCAACACATCTTTACATAATTAAACAAATGTAGCATAAACAAATGCAACACACCTTTGCCTAGTTTAAGTAATATTCCACAACAATGGGAAAGTAGGTAGGCTCTGTGATTCATATCTCCATTAACATTGACCCTGGGATGACACCCTCCTGTGTACTCACATATGTATCAAGCTGCCATGTGAAAAAGTAGGTTTAAAAAAAAGTACCATTTTTTCAAGGCCCAAGACCTTCCTTTAACATCCTGTCCCCCAGGATCTGCAGGTACTTGCAGGACCCGTCAGTCCTCTGGAGATGGTGGGAACCAGCCATGTTCTTTTCTCTTACTGAATCTACTTCATATACCCTTTCCTCCAAGCCAGGCCCTCTGGGCATCTTGTCAGCTCACTGTCACTGTTGGCATGCTGTTGGGAGAGGACCTGGAACAGCACAACACCCCCAGTTTTTTGAAGGAATGTTTTTGGTTGTTTTGTTTTGTGTTTTGTGTTTTGTACAATGAGATTTCTATTCCTAGCAAAAGACACAGATCCATAGCACTGAAAGAAAGCATCAGCCTTTGTATCCTTATCCCCTATATCCATATATATAGTATATATGGTATATATACTCATTTATGAAGTGAGTCTTCCCTCTCTACTAGGAAACAATTTCCTACTCATACCTAATGCCCCCACACACACATTGAGATAGGGTTTTATGTAGCCCAGGCTGGCCTTAAACTTACTATGTAGCTCAGGATGACCTTGAACTTCTGATCTTCCTGCTTCAACCTTCCGAGTTCTGGGATTGCAGGCATGCATGACCATGCCCAGTTTCTATGGTTCTGGAGATCAAATTCAGTGCTTTGGGCATGATAGGCAAGCATCCTACCAACTGAACCACATCCCCAGCCTCGTATTATATTATTATTATTATTATTATTATTATTATTATTATTATTATTATCCCTTCTCCATCCTCTTCCTCCTTAAAGCAGGATCTAATTTAGCCCAGGCTAGCCTTGAATTGACTATGTAGCCAATGACTTTAAACTCCTTCTTCTCCTCCTCCTCCTGCCTCCATTTCTCAAGCATTGGGTTAAAGCCATGTATACTTTTTTTAAAGATTTATTTGTTTTTATTATATGTATATGACTTTTGCCTACATGCATGTATGTGCACCACTTGCATGCCTGGAACCCATGGAAGTTAAAAGGAGGTGTCAGATGCCCTGGAACTGGAGTTTCTGACAGTTGTGAGCCACAATGTGGGTGCTGGGAATCAAACCAGGTCCCCTACAAGAACAGCAAGTGCTCTTAACTGCTGCAACATCTCTCTAGCGCCCATGTGTACTTAAAAAAATGTTTACTTCAAGGAAGAGAAGACCTATCAAATGCCCTGGAAGACGGTTGGTCCAGTGTGCAACATGGGCAGACTCTCAATTGGTCCAAAAAGCTCAAACTCTGAGGAACATGAAGAACACTCTCAGAGAGAGACTCATCTGAAGAGGAATTCTCTGGAGTTCACAAAGTTCTTCCCTGGAGCTAAATGTATTTTTGTCAGTGCCTTTTCCTGCCCAGGTGTCGCCTAACCCAGAAATGTCTGCTCCACAACCACCAGAAGGTCATGATGCCGGGTCACAAGACCCTTAAAGCAGCATTTCCTTCCCACCCTTGACCACAAGGATTCTCGTGTCTCAGATGGTCACAGAGTTTAAGGACACAGCACGCAGCAGAAAGTGCATGACCAGGGCTGGTCTTCCCAGCCTTTAGTCTCATAACTGACAGTGTTACACTCCTCTTCTGTTCCCTTGACATCCTCTTCTAAACACACCCAAGCCAGGCATGGTGGCACAGGCCTTTAAACCCAGAGATCTGAAAGCAGAGGCAGATGGACATCTGAATCTGAGGTCAGCCTGGTCTACTATAGTAAGTTCTAGGCCATCCTGGACTACATAGAAAGCCTCTGTCTAGGAGCTGGTGAGATGGCTCAGTGGTTAAGAGCATTGACTGCTCTTCCAGAGGACCCAGGTTCAATTCCCAGCAACCACATGGTAGCTCACAACTGTCTGTACCTCCACTTCCGGGGGACCTGATACCCATGGCAAAACACCAATGCACATTAAAAAAATAAAAAATAAATAAATAAATAAATAAAAGTCTCCATTCACAAATAAGTAAGTAAGTAAATAACCCAGTAAGCTCATTCATTCCATGGCCTAGGTGGGCACTAACAAATTCTTGCAGTTAACAGCACAGAGCCCCAAGAGTGAACTTGAACTGCAGGGCTGGGACCTTCCACAGACCCCCTGCAGTCATGGCGCACAGGCCTACAGGCTGACAGTCTCTGCGCGGAGCATCCCCTGGGACCCAACACAGACGTTAACAGCTGTGATTTCTACTCCAGAGCCGTGGCTGGGTGCTCGCGGCACACTGCCTCATCCCGTCATGCCTTCATGCAAACACTGTCACAGCCTGTCTTCCACTGGGCTCCAAAGAAACCAGTGAGCATGCTGGAAGCTACACCCTGTTTCCTTTGAGTGCTATGGACAAATTGATATTTCCCAGTAGTCTTTGGTATAGGATCTAAAAATGGCCAGTTTGCACACTTCCCAAGTGATGTCGTCACAAAGCCCGTGATTAACTAATTATAAAAGCATTTGCAGAAACCAGCAGTGCATGAGAAGCTCCTCTTCCAGGTGACATTCATCATCATCTTATTCTCTAGCTCTCCCCGCCCCACCAAGAAGCAATTAAGCTTTTACCAGCTTTTGCTGGAAGGTACCAAAGCAGCCAGCACAGACTTTATTATCTTTCATCATGTTTGATGCCATCTGGTAGACACAAAACTGATTAAGATTGGTGTTCAGTGTGAGTAAAGCAGCAATTACTTATTTATCAACCCTGGGAGTGGAAAAGAATCCATTTCTTACCAAAGATTATTGCTATATATAGTGGGCGCTTTCTTCACCCCAGGACTGATAGACCTCAGGCTATCGCTTTACGCTCTCCCACTGCCTTTAAAAATAGCCTTCACTGCTTACAAGTCACTGTTTTTGACAGCCATATAGAGCATAATTTATAGTCTAAAAAGGAGTCCATGTGGCATTTATTAAAATTAGTTAGCAAAAACCTTTTATCTTTTTGACAGGCTAATCAAAGATTAAATGCTCGGTTATTTTCTTCACAGAATTAGCTACATTCGTCGTCCTAAATGTACACTTTCCTCTCCACTGGGGGAAAGGATCTAAGACAAATGTCTTGAAAGGAGCATTATCCTGGAGGATGTGAGGGCAAAGCTAATAAATAGCTAAATGGTTTCAGTCACCTAAGGCAGACGCCTCCCTCCTTCAGCCAAAACATACTGGCTGTCTGGCTTTAGCGCAGCCATAAATAGGAATCATTGATGCATACACAGTGAAACTAACAAAACGAAACCAAACAGAAGTTGGCCGGGTGCCAGCTGAGGACTGATGGGGAGATGCCATTGTGAGTTTCTGACTTGAAAACGCTAGTCAGTTTTTAAACATTTCATTTGTAAAAGTCAGCTGTGTTTCTATTTGTGTTCTCTTGAAAATATAGAAGGAAATTAGGGGGTACCCAGACAACAACAAACTTAGGTAGACTAGGAACAGCAGAGGGGCAGATTTTAAAGTTCTTTTTCTAAGCCGGGCGGTGGTGGCACACACCTTTAATCCCAGCACTCAGGAGGCAGAGGCAGGCGGATCTCTGAGTTCGAGGCCAGCCTGGTCTACAAAGCGAGTTCCAGGACAGCCAGGGCTGCACAGAGAAACCCTGTCTTGAAAAACAAAACAAAACAAATCAACAAACAAAACGAAAGTTCTTTTCCTAAAACTGTTAGTAAAAATCTAAATTTATTACATCATATTGAGGGGGTCAGGGTCGGGGGAGGTAGGATGTACATGTGACAGCATGTGTAGAGGTCAGAGGACAACTTCTAAAAGTCTCCTCCTACGGTGCGAGTCCTGGGGATGGAACTCGGGTTGTCGGGTTTGGTGGCAAGTGTCTTTACCAAGCCATCTCACTGGCCCCAAATTGAAAATTTTTAACAAAACTTAAAGGTATATCAATTAATCTATCAAGGCCCTGCTAGGGGGATGGCTCAGCTGTTAGGAGCACTGCCTTCTCTTGAGGACCAGGGTTCAAGTCCCAGCAGCCACAAGGTGGTTCACAACTATGCAGTCCTAGGGAGTCTGACGCCCTCTTCTGGCCACTGCAGGTACTACATAAGTGTGTGCAGAGGCACACGTGCAGGCAAAACACTTAAAAGTAGTAATTTTTCAAAGTTTTAAAGTATATCTACTGGTCAGAAAATACCTATGGTGAGAATAGGTTAGCATATGTAATGTGAAGATGTTTCTGAAGCTGTCATATTCCTAGAATTTACTTTTATGAAGTTATAACATGATCACTATTTGGTGAACATTGATTTTTTTTTTTAGGTAGCTAATCTGACTGGAGGGCAGATTCAGTTCATAAATTCTCCTAAAGCCAAATACTCATTAGCTCATCTTCCTAACTAGAATCTCTATTAAAGGGAGAGTGTATCTCTTACCTGATTAGCATAGAGTTGGTGGATGAAAAGGGCAAAGCCTGGTGTTTGGAATATAGCTGTTGAAACTGGGTGAAATTATTATATTCAAATAGGTTTCTGTCCGTGAGAAAGTGACTTCCAGGAGATGAACATGCCCATGTCTCTCGGCAAGACATGCGGAGTGTCTAAAGTAACTGAAATCCTCTCTGCGGGCAGGGAGGAACACACTGTCAGGTGGGTTGGTGTGAGGAGCCATACTGGGGTCTGGATTTAGGGTGCAGACTAAAGTTCTCACACAATATGTCCCACAAATGTAAATGCCCAACCGAGAGTTCCAGGGAAATGCTTTTCTCTAGTTGTCCTTTAAAAAGATCAAATGTGGGGGCTGCAGAGATGGCTCAGCAGTTAAGAGCACTGGCTGCTCTTCCAAGGTCCTGAGTTCAATTCCCAGCAACCACATGGTGGCTCACAGACATCTATAATGGGGTTCTGAGGCCCTCTTCTGTCTGATGCCCTGTTCTGTCCTTCAAAATATGCAAATAGTGCACTCATATGCATAAATAAATAAATCTTAAAAAAAAATCAAATGTGCTGTGTCTGTGTTTTGCCCTCCTGCAATGATATCATACAGTGTTAATTAGCAAGTGTTCCCGTGGGGCCCAGCGCTGAGCCCCTAGGTCCTCATCTAAGGCTTTTTTTTTTTAGCACTCCTTGTAATTAGGTCTCTCCCAACCCCTTCCTCCTGTTCACAGCCTAAAAACGAATATAGCATCATGTTTACTCCTCATCCCATAGGATTAAGTTGTAATTAATAGACTTCCAGCATAACCCCAGTGATACTGGTTGGAGAATCCTTGTCAACTTATTTATTCTCTGATCAGTCATAGACCTTGACTGGAACATGTGCCAAAAGCTATATTGGGATGAATAATTTGCAGTTTTGTAAATCATGGTTTATCCATATTTTGATTACAAAATCCAGATATGAATCGTGTTTTATTCCCATTGCTGGTCAGAGGTACTCAGAGCTTGATGCAGTGAAATCTAGTGACTTGGGAAATGCAAACGTGGGGATGGCTTTTCTCTATGAATGGCTAGAGAGACGATGGCCTGGAGTCAATGTTAAACCCTTAGTAAGTCATTTCCAATTTAATTGCCATATAAATAGAGTAATTTTGTCTTTCCTACTGAAATATAATATCAAAGTAGTCATAGGAAGTCATTACTGCATTCCCTTATTTGTAGATATGCTTTAAATTAATTGCCAATTATCTTCCATCATTTTATATATATAAAACATATATATAAACACACATAGGAAACTATCGCTGCGCTAAGTAATAAAAGGTGATTTTTAGGTTAGTGGCTTGAGTGCAGAGTGTCCCCAAGGCCTCTATTAGAAGTGGGGTGTGAGAGACAGCTGACCCGAGCTCGTGGGAGCTCATGGACTCTGGACTGACAGCTGGGGAGCCTGCATGGGACCGAACTAGGCCCTCTGAATGTGGGTGACAGTTGTGGCTTGATCTGTTTGTGGAGCCCTTGGCAGTGCGACCAGTATTTATCTCAGGTCCATGAACTGGCTTTTTAGAGCCCATTTCCTATGGTGGGATATCTTGCTTGCCTTAATGCAGGGGGGCTTGGTCCTGCTCCAACTTGGTATACCAGCCTGTGTTGACTCCCCAAGGGAGGCCTTACCCACTCTGAGGAGTGAATGGAAGTGGGCTGGGGTGGGGGGGAGGTGAGGGGAAGAGAGAGAGGGGGAACTGTAGTTGGTATGTAAAATGAAGAAAAAAATTTAAAAAAGAAGTAGGGTATGAAATCTGACTTCTCCCATTCGGCCTTTATATTCTCAATTCACCTTTTTAAAATGTCCTTTTAAAAATGAGTGATTAGCCGGGCGGTGGTGGCGCACGCCTTTAATCCCAGCACTCGGGAGGCAGAGCCAGGCGGATCTCTGTGAGTTCGAGGCCAGCCTGGGCTACCAAGTGAGTTCCAGGAAAGGCGCAAAGCTACACAGAGAAACCCTGTCTCGAAAAACCAAAAAAAAAAAAAAAAAAAAAAAATGAGTGATTAATGTCATTTGAAAAAATTAATTTTTAGTGAACGTGGTTTATTCAGATGTAGTTGCTGTGGAATGTCGTTCTGTATGTTGTGAATATGTGTTGCTCTGATTGGTTGATAAATAAAATGCTGATTGGCCAGTAGTCAGTCAGGAAATATAGGCAGGGCAAGCAGACAAGGAGAATTCTGGGAAGAGGAAGGCTGAGTCAGGAGTCACCAGCCAGACACTGAGGAAGCAAGATGTGAAGACAGAACTGAGAAAAGGTACCAAGCCATGTGACTAAACATAAGTAAGAATTATGGGTTAATTTAAGTGTAAGAGCTAATCAGTAATAAGCCTGAGCAAATGGCCAAGCAGTTATAAATAATATTAAGCCTCTGAGTGTTTACTTGGGTCCAAGCGGCTGTGGGACCAGCAGGTGAGAGAGATTTGTCCTGACCACGGGCCAGACAGGACACAGGAAAATTTCCAGCTACATGTAGTAGCCTTGTCCTGGTTCCCATGTCTTCTGCCCAGGAATGACAGGCACCCACTGGGTTGTCCAGATGTGGTGGCCTTGTCCTGGTTCCCGTGTCTTCTGCCCAGGAATGACAGGCACCCACTGGGTTGTCCAGATGTGGTGGCCTTGTCCTGGTTCCCGTGTCTTCTGCCCAGGAATGACAGGCACCCACTGGGTTGTCCAGATGTGGTAGCCTTGTCCTGGTTCCCATGTCTTCTGCCCAGGAATGACAGGCACCCACTGGCTTATCCAGATATGGTGGCCTTGTCCTGGTTCCCATGTCTTCTGCCCAGGAATGACAGGCACCCACTGGGTTGTCCAGATGTGGTGGCCTTGTCCTGGTTCCCATGTCTTCTGCCCTTTCTGTTTTGACCCTGCGCTAAGCTGAAGGTGACTGATCAGAGAGCCCCAGCCATGTTCTTTGTCTCTGTCTCCTTTGTTTGGTGCCATGCCTCTGCAGTACTTCCCAAGTCCAGTCTGTCCCCTGCCAATCTTGCTCTGGAAACCCTGAGAACAGCCCTGTTAAGAATAATAAAAAGTCTAAGCATTGAATGGAAAGTTTCTTTGAAAATTGTCTGTCTGTTTGTCAAGAACTACAGGCAACTGAGTGTAGCTGGAGTTTTCTCCAGTCCCGCTCGGGCCTGCAGCCGCTCAGACCCAAGTAAACACTCCGAGACTTATATTGCTTACAAACTGTATGGCCATGGCAGGCTTCTTGCTAACTGTTCTTATATCTTAAATTAACCCATTTCTATTAATCTCTAAGTTGCCACATGGCTTGTGGCTTACAGCTTACCGGTACTTTTACATCTTGCTTGGTCTGTGTCTGGCTGGTGACTCCTCAATCAGCCTTCCTGTTCCCAGAATTCTCTTCTCTGCTTATCCCGCCTATACTATACTTCCTGCCTGGCTACTGGCCAATCAGTGTTTTATTTATCAACCAATTAGAGCAACACATTCACAGCATACAGAGCGATATCCACAGTAACTGAGGAATGCCGAGAGTGGGAAAAGTAGTCTTCCCCAGGGAAGAGCACAGGATTTGGTTATCCAATACCAAATAGTCAGTCCTGAAAACATATATGTGACCAAGCAGGTTACATTTATGTATTTAGGAATATATGTGTACATACATATGCATGCATATATGTGTCTAACAACAATTAATGAGGAAAAGCAGCCATGAGTTTGGAAGATAGCAAGTAGGTGTATATGGGAGGGCTTGGAGGGAAGAAAGGGAAGGAGAATATGACATAATTGTATTAATCTCAAAATAATCAAAGAAATAATAAAGAAAACTTTTGTGTGGTGAGATTTAAGATGTGCTGTGAGAGCCACACATGGTGACACATGTCTGTAATCCCATCAGCCAGGAGGCTAAGGGAAGAGGACCCTGAGTTTGAGCCTGGACTACATACCGAGTTCCTGGCCAGCCTGGGCTGCATAGCAAGACCTTGTCTCAAAGCCCATTATGGTTTTAGACTTCTGCCTTAGTGTAGGTGGGTGATTCACATTCTTTAAGATTTGTTTTATTCCCAGCCCTCGTGGTAGCTGTTCTGCGCTTCATCCAACTGAAACCGAAGGTTTTAAACCCATGGCTGAATATCAGCGGACTGGTGGCGCTGTGTCTGGCTTCCTTCGGAATGACCTTACTTGGTAATTTTCAGGTACTTCCTCTGGCTTTTTCGCCTCCCTCTCGCGCTGGTAAGATTATGTACTTCTAGATTATTGCAGCCTAAGGTATCGTCTCCACATGACCCATATGATTCTGCACGAACCCCAGAAACAAGCAAACACTTTTCACTTAGATTCTGCCTCTGCTGTCCCCAGGGTCTCTACGCCTGTTCCCGCCAGGCGCGTGAGAGCTAACTGCAGATGCAGATGGTATGGCGACTGGGGAAGTAGCTCAGAACAGCTGTGTGTTTCCAGAGCGCTTCCCACTTTCCTTCATTGTAAAGTGTATCCCAGTGTGCTTTTCCAGAAAACTACTAAGATTGCCGCCTCTTGATAATTAAACACTGACTAGCCATCTTTGATGGAAGCGCACATTTCAGAGTAACAGGTTCCTGGGAAAGTCAGGACAGAAAGCCCAGACTCTCTCCAGAGTCCCCGACTCACCCTCCCAGAACTCAGAAGCCGGGGGGCACACCTGGAAGAATAACGCCTTTTGCCAGTTGGACATCTCCCTCCTGCTCTGAATGGCTTCCTTTATCTCCACAATTGGCTGATTCCCCTGCCTCCATGCGCTCCACACTGTAGGCCACCCTTCACTGCCACACACTTCTCTTGTGAGCAAATGAGAGAAATATCCGGTCTTCCTCCACCCCACCCCCACCCCCCACCTGCTGAATGAACTCCAAATGGTATAGGCACTCAAGACCCTCGGCATTCTAGCAAACCCTTAGTTGTGTTCTTACCAAAACACACTAATGGGTTTTCGATGGCTCTTTCTCCTTCTAACCCTCACCCTTACCGACTCCTTAAACCAGGACCGTCTGTGCCTCAAGACTTCACCTTGGCACACAGTAGCAAGTAAATGTTTTTCTGCATTATGAGTTGTTGGGCATTCCCATTCCATATCAAGCTGGATAACCAGAAAGCTGTGTCCTTAGAGCACATGGCCTAGGATAATAATCAAGAGCGTGTCTGTTGAGATTACTGCTGAGATCTGGGTGGTGGCCTGTGCTGTGCTGCAGATGTGGCCATAGCAGACAGTAAATACCATTCGCTCTACCAGGGCTTCGGGTATTGATGAGTAGTGACGTGCAGATTTCATTCTAAAGTCCTAGCAGAATCCCAGAGATGGGTGGTCTTGGAAAATGTCGCAATGTAAAGCTGTGAACGATGACACTCCATATGAAGAACCCTTGCTGGAGTGTCTTTCAGGAGGGCAGTCATCAACCCTCTGGAGTGGGGGATGAGAGATGTTTCAATTGCTGCCTCTTTTTATAAACTTATAAAAGTGTGAACCATATGACTGTATTACCTATTTTAAATTCAGGTAAAATACTGGTAATAAATGAAATGGGTTGCATTTGACATGAGAAATTGATTTCCTGGAAGTGAAATTTAACTTGAGAAATCATTATTTTTAAATAAAATTTGAAAATATACCTTTTGAATTATGAGTGGGAAAGTGGCTTCCTAGCAAAAGGGGGGGACTACAACCAAAAACAATAGAAAAATTAGAAGGAAAAAGTGATATTGATTTGATACAACACTTATGGCAACACTGTCAAACAGAAAAAAACCTGAGGGTAATGGAAAGTTCTAAAGTCATATTTCACCGTAGTTTAGAAACTGTCTCGTCAGAAGGTTTCATTTTTTTTTTTGTATATGCAGTTAAAATGCAGATAATTTCAAAAGGAGTTTTTAGTTTTAGACGCCTTTTATAAAATAGCTAGGTAATGACTCGGAGAGCTTTTTACATCAACAACCAACTGAGGCTGAGTCTTTGGACTCTGTGGAAGCCTAGAATGCAGGTCTTCAGACACAGTTGTTCTTTAATGGCTGTGGATCTGACTGACACTCAGAGCTTTCTGTTCTCTTTATTACTACAGGAAACAAAACCCAGAGAATTCCTATTAACACTGAGTAGGCTGAGTTCCACAGACAGGCCAGTTGTCCCAAGGGCTATCACTATGTGCCAATCAAACCTTCCCGTGCCAGAAATGTGGATTCTCGGGAAGCACACAGCCACACCCCGAGCTTCATTCTTTCTGCTTGGAAAGCAGAGTCTGGGACGTGTTCCTGTAGAAGCTTGACATTTCCTTTTTATATAATTCTCCTGCTTTTTAATTTCCTTTCCCTTAAAAGCTTTTTCTGGAAAATAAATTCAGGACATCGATCCCTGCCTCCTGTAGGGTTTTCTAAATGAATGTTTTTAAGTTTGGGGAAAATTGTTTCTTGTCCTCCATCTCTGTAGATTCTCACAATTTGAGAATCAACACAAAGAGTCAGCAGAGATGAAAAAGTCTAATTTTTCTAAGCTCTCTGGCCTCCCTGTTGAAAAGTTTTTTCCCCCATCTTTCCCCTCATATTTTTCGTCAGTCTACATGTTTTCAAAATGAGCCTCCACATAGCTTCTCTGTTCTGTAGCTCACAAACGATGAAGAAATTCATAATGTGGGGACATCCTTGACCTTCGGGTTTGGCACATTGACCTGCTGGATACAGGCTGCATTGACACTCAAGGTCAATATCAAGAACGAAGGACGGAGAGTTGGAATTCCACGAGTTATCCTGTCTGCCGTCATCACTCTCTGTGTGGTCCTGTGTATCCTTTGAAGGTTCTTTGCCAGGGACAGTAGAACACAGGTAAGTTTTAGACGGAGAAGAAGAGACCATTGCCCTTCCTGGTGTGTAGAGAAGATGTCAGATCAAAAAATGCCATGATGAACCCATCACTTTGTACACTAGCTTTAAAATGAGTAGCCAGAAGCCGGAGAGATGGGTCAGCGGTCAAGAGCACTTGCTGCTCTTATAAAGAACCGGGGTTTGATTCCAGGCACCCACACGGTGGCTCACAACTGTCTGTAACTCCAGAGAGAGGGGACCCAACATCCTCTTCTGGCCTCCTCAGGTACTAGGCACACTAGGGCTACACATATATACCTGTAGATAAAACACTCGCACACAAAAGTAAAACATAAATCTTTTAAGAATGAATAAATAAAAACTAATAGTCAGGTATGGCAGAGCCTAGATGTAATCCCAGAACCTGGGAGGTGAAGGCAAGAGAACTGGGAATTAGGATCATCCTTGGTTACATAGTGAGTTCAAGGCCATATTGCACTACCTCGAACGCTGTCTCAAATAAAAGTAAATTAAAATTAATTTAAAAAAACTTTAAAATCAGATTTTTATGCCAAAGAGAGACAGGGAACTGAAACTAAAGCAGGTTCTGCTGCCTGAGGATGATTTCAGGCCACGGGAACGGCATCATGCCTTCTGTCTGCAGCCCATGGGAAAGGCATCATGCCTTCTGTCTGCAGCCCATGGGAAAGGCGTCATGCATTCTGTCTCCAGGCTTACAATGTTTCCACTTATGAAAATCATGGCACAAAAAAGTCCAAAAAAGTAATTGTAATTTTTTTTTTGCCATCTTAAAAAATTCACCTATGACTTTAAGTCCTATTAGGGTTAGGTCATTTATTATCCTTAAAAAGAATTTCAAGGGACGAATGTTTATATCTTTCAAGATTATAAATTTCCCTGGAGAACAGATTCAGGAACTAGATCACCTATATGTGTGTCGTTTTCCTGAATAAATATTTGAGGCTTTGGGGTGCTGTTCATTTCCTCTTCTCCCCCGTGGAGTTTGAACCGATGGAGAACAGACGAAGAAGAGCTAGGTGAAAAATCAGCTTTCATTCCTAGTGAACTGGGGAAGATTGGCTCAGGCCCCATCAGCACCCTGTAGTCAGCCCACCTGCCATTAACAAGCAGAAGAGAAGGCCTCACTCCCTTCAACCCCAGACAAGTCCCAGAGAGACTGCCAGCTAGCGCAGGGCTCAACGACACCATCAGTAACCTGGCCCAGGAGAAGTTGCCAGTTCCCATCTGTGTTGGTCACTTTTCTGTTGCTATGAAAAAAACACCCTAAACCGGGTGGGGGTGGTGGTGGCACACGCCTTTAATCCCAACACTTGGGAGGCAGAGCCAGGTGGATCTCTGTGAGTTCGAGGCCAGCCTGGTCTACAGAGTGAGTTCCAAGACAGGCTCCAAAGCTACACAGAGAAACCCTGTCTCAAAAAACTTAAAAGAAAAAAGAAAAAAATACCCTGACAGAAGCCACTTAGAAGATGAAAGGGTTTAAGCCGGGCGGTGGTGGCGCACGCCTTTAATCCCAGCACTCGGGAGGCAGAGCCAGGCGGATCTCTGTGAGTTCGAGGCCAGCCTGGGCTACCAAGTGAGTTCCAGGACAGGCGCAAAGCTACACAGAGAAACCCTGTCTCGAAAAACCAAAAAAAAAAAAAAAAAAAAGAAGATGAAAGGGTTTGTTTTAGCTTACGGCTCCAGAGGGTTAGGGTTCATCGTGATTGGAAAAGCATGCCAACAGGCAGGGAAGCATGGTGGCTGGAACAGGAAGCTGGCCCTTCACGTTCTCACCCAGACACAGGAAGCAGAGAAAGGATAGAAGTAGGCAAAGCTTAGACCTTCAAAGCCTGTACTCAGTAACATACTTCCCGCAAGACTCTATCTTCTAAGGGTTCTGTAACCTTCCCAAACAGACCACCACCTGGGGATGGATTTTTCCAACCCATGAGCCTAGGGTTGGCATTTCTCACTCAAACCACCCCCCCACCCCATCCCACCCATCAGTTACCCAGGCCTGAGAGCAGATGAAAAACAAAATCAGCCTTTATTCCTGGTAAATTGGGAAGGATGGCTTAGGACTCATCTGCACACTGCAGTAACCAGTATTTACTCAAACAGGTTCTCCTTAGAAACCGGAAGAAGGAGCCATGATTCCTAAGTGGTCAAGCAGTTAACGCCAACGTTACATGCCTCGGTGACAGTCGTCACCAGGGTTTGCTGAGCGTTTACCATGTCTAGGAATCACTCCAAGCACTTGATGCGTATTGATTCTTTTAATCACAAGTTGAGAATCCTAGGTAGGTTAATTTGTCACAAAGATTGTAGCAACCTGATAAGATATGATCAAAGAAATCGAAGCTGCCACTTCCCCAGCGAGTTAACACAGGGCTGGTGGTATTTTCTACCCTCAGTCGGAAGGTGCGCAAGACTTGCAGTGACTCGGGCTGACAGCTAACGGTTCTGATCGTGTTGCATCGGAACACTTGGAAGCGTTAATTAGTATCTTTGTTTCCTGGATCCAGGCTCAGTCAAGAGACCGAAGAGTTCCCGACATGGCTCCGCCTGTCCTCTTAGTCTCTGACAGTCCCTGAAGAGTTTAGGTCTGTAATTTAAAGGTAGAGCACAGATCCAAGTTCTCAGATACGTCTCAGGATGTATCTGGTTTTTCTGAATGTTTTTGGTTCTCAGACTCCTCACATTTCACTAAAATGTGCAATGAACTTTTTGTTCTTTTCTCAGACCCTGTGCTTCCATATACACAATCATATGTATGTACACACACACACTATATGTATCATATGCATATTTCTTTTATATAGTTGGATATATGTGTATATATATAGAGAGAGAAATAGGACCATCATGATTTTTAAGATTTATATATTATGTATAATATATATATTTAGGAATAGGACCATCATAATTTTTAAGGTATGTATATTATATATAATACATATATTTAGGAATAGGACTGTCATAATTTTAAGGTATATATATATATGAATAGAACTGTCATAATTGTTAAGGTATATATATATATATATATATATATATATATATATATATTTAGGAATAGGACCATCATGATTTTTAAGATTTTATATATATATATATATTTAGGAATAGAACCTTCATGATTTTTAAGGTATATATATTATATATAATATACATATATATATATTTAGGAATAGGACTGTCATAATTTTTAAAGTATATATATATGTATATATATGAATAGAATTGTCATAATTTTTAAGGTATATATATATATATATATACATATATACACATATATATAGGAATAGAACCATCATGATTTTTAAGGTACATATATTATATAATATATATATTTAGGAATAGGACCATCATGATTTTTTTATTAGCAGTTATGATTTTTTTTTTTTAGGTTTTTAAAATTTTATTTATTTTTATTAGTGTGACTGTTTTCCTGTGTGTATGTGTACCACGTTTGTGCCTGGTTTCATTGGAGTTCAGAAGAGGGAGTCATCCCCTGGTGCTAGAATTATGGATGGTTCTGAGCCATCATGTGGTGCTGGAAACTGAATATAATAATGGGCATAGAGGGGCCTGGAAAGATGGCTCAGTGGTCAAGAGCACTGGCTACTCTTACAGAGGACCTGGGTTCAGTTCCCAGAATGCATGTGGTGGCTCACAACCATTCATAATTCCAGTTCTGGGGATCCACTGCCCTCTTCTGACCATGCATGTGGTACACATACATACTTGCACACCATGTAAAATGCATACTTCTTTACATGAAAAATAAAATGAATCAGTGTAAGTTTAAATAAAAAAAAAACAGGCTTCATTATGGCATTTCATGTATATATAATGTATCTTGATCATATTCACACACATCCCCTTTTGTCCCTTCCTACTTTTGTGAACCTTTTTGTTTTGAGACAGGTTCTCATACAGCCCAGGATGACCTCTAACTCACTGTATAGATGTTAGCCATGAACCATGAGTCCTCCTGCCTCCGCCCTCCAAATGCTGGGTTACAGGCACACACCACCACACTGGGGTGCTCACTAAGGCTTTTTAAATTGCTTCTCTTCATTGGGTCACATGTTTTAACATGTGACCAGAAATGAGACTGATCTATACAGTATTGCCTAAAAGAAGAGCGAAAGGTCACAAGTATTAGCATTGCGGAGCAAATACTGTTGTATGGAAGTAGCTGGGATGTTCAGGAGAGTCATGGTCCTTTTGCTACTCACCTTTAATCGGGCAGGTGTAGAGTTCACGATTGACGCATGGCCAAGGCATTTGTGTGAATCCACCAACTCATACCTCTGTGAGAATGACTTCAGGTAAGTTACCTACTTGGCCTCAGTTTCTTAACTGTCAATGAGGATAGGATCGCTGGGAGGGTTAGATGGGATTATCTGTGGAGGCATCTAGAAATATGCCCAACATGGCACACAGCCCAATAATGTTATCTAATAATACATGCAAATACCAGCTTTCAACTAGTCCCATCACGTTACTCGTGAGCGTGGCCCTGGCTACCAGCTTTGCCAGTGATGGGGAAACTGATACCTGATTACCTTCCTTGACCTTTGCTCCCCAGACTTCATTCTCATGGCCCAAGATATCCACATGTACGCAGCCAGGGTCCAGTGGGGCCTGGTCATGTGCTTCCTGTCATACTTTGGCACCCTGGCGGTGGAGTTCCGGCACTACCGCTATGAGATTGTGTGCTCTGAGTACCAGGAGAACTTCCTGAGCTTCTCAGAGAGCCTGTCAGAAGCGTCTGAATATCAAACCGACCAGGTGTAACCCGTCAGTTTGTCCTTGGGGGTGCGGTGGGTGTGACGACAGGAGAGGGATCGGGATGATACACTCACAGGACTCGACACATCACCTCATGACGCGCTTCACACACACGGACACATATTCATCGTGGCCATATTTGCCAAAAGAGCTTTTCAGGGCAGGTTATTTCTTTCATGAACAAGCACAAGCTCTCATGTGTGGAAATACACACTGTCACACTGAAAACATATGCACGACAGAGCCAGAAGCTTGTGCATGGTCACCTCCCCGTCCCACCCTCCCAGTATGCTCTTCTCATCTGCTTCACGTTTCGAACCTGTCGTCTCCCTCCAGCAGAGTAAGGCAGGCTGAATGGAACATAAGAATGAAGCCAGCTCCCTCAGCCGCCTTCAGGTCCGAAGGGCTTGGAGTGAGCTTGTGGGGACTTGTGGCTCTGGGACCGATATTCTCGAGTGGACACCCGAGGAGCATCTGTCTGGATGCTCACTGTACTGAAGCTGGGAGTGTGGCCTGTGAGAGGCACGGGCAGAGCTTTCCCGCCAGGCGGCCTTCACCACTGTTCAGCCGTCGGCTTTGTGGGAAAGGAACATGGGAAAGAGGCCGCCACCGGCATCTGGACTTGACTCAGTCTGCCTGAGAAAGATCTCCAAGTGTGAATGTTCACGGGGACGGGATGCCAGGGGTGGCATGAGGCACAGCTGAGAGGGCCTGTTTTCATTTCCGCTTCCACACTGTGTCATGCACAATTCTGGTTTTATAGCCCATGGCTTGCCTTTTTCTTTTTTTTTAATGCAACTCCCGTGGGTTTCTGTAGGCCTCATGGACAAAGATGTGGACCAAAGGCAAGAACCTTGTTTTGGTTTCAGATATGACAGGGGATGATACCTACGGGCTTATTTTAAATTTGAAGCAAAAAGAAGGACAAAAAAAAAAAAGGATTCTCAAAGAAGCACAAAGAAATCTGCATGGGGGTGGGGGTGGGGGTGGCGAGGTATGAGGGCGCCTGTGGGCTTTGAGGAGGAAGGACGGGAGGTTAGGACTCTTGCGGCAAATCCAAGCCGGGGGAGACTTTCACATTCATGTGTTCCCCAAATTTTTAGGTGCCCCCAAAGTTCGGGAACTAAGGACTTTTCAAATTTGGAGTTTATGGAAGCCAATTAAAACACTGCCCTCCCCCAAACCACATTGGCACAGACAGAGCCACGGCACTGAACATGAGTCTCTCACCTGCTACGAGTTCAGATGTGAGATCATAAGTGAAGGAGTTTGAGGCCATCCTAGATCCCTCGTACCAAGGTGCAGAGCAGTGTACCTAGCGCACGAGCACCACCACCCCAACCGAGTGCACCGTTTCAAGAAATCCCCAAATTCTTAGGGGCCTGGGATACCCCGGTGATAATGTGAAAAATGCTATTTTGTAAATTCAACCCAAAGTATAGCTTCCTAAGGAGAGGCTCAAATGTTGTTTCATCTAAATCCCCACTCCCAGCACAGTGCCTGGCGCACAGTGGGTGCTCGGTAAGTGTCCACGGAATAGGTGGTTTCCGAGTGGAGGTAAGGAGTATCAAAGGGATCGGGAGATGAGGGACAGAGAACGGAAGCTGTCTCAAGTGAGGAAGGAGAGGAAGAGACCGTCACTCAGGCAAAGAACGGGGTGGGGGACTCCCTCAACGGTGAGCGTGAAGAGCCTCGAGCAGAGTGTTCTCTTCTTTAAAGGCATCTTACTGTAAATAGTATGGGGTGACGTCTCTTAGTTTTAAAACTGCTTTGGGCATTCTTTTCCTTTCTTTTTTATATTTTAAAGGTTTAATCAAAGAACAAACACAGTTTTGTTTTACTGTGCACACTCCAAGTCAAACAGCTTTTGGTGACCCACCCACTCGTCTGTTTTCTTAAGAGTATGTAACAGCACACCCTAGCAGAATCAAGCAAAGGCTGGCATTACTCACTGGGATCTGGCCACTAAAATAAAGTTGTTTTATGCAAAATTGTGACTTCCTTGTTTCTTACACTAACTGTTCTTCATGGGTGTGTGTAGGCACAGCGTCTTTATGTTGGCTGTTTTATTATGAAGGATACAACTCAGGATCAGGTACATGGAAGATGTGCATGGGAAGAGAAGGGGGCCAAGGGCTCCTGTACCTTTGCATTCCACTCTCCCAGCTTCCCACAGTGTTGCTCAGCCTGTGGGAAGCTATCCACAGCTCATAACACACTGGTGATAGCTCTCCATCCCCCAGCTGCCCCCCCCCACCTCCTGAAGTGGGTGGGTTGGAGGTCTAAGCTCTTGGTACTTGAGGTAACCAGCCTTCATCCTGAAGTTACCTCAGTAGCATGAATTCTGGTATGACCAGAAGGGGTTCATTCTGAACAAAACATTGCTGTTATGTTCTAAGCAGGTTAGGAATTCCAGCCAGGAACAGAAACAAAAGCCAAACATCTTATTTGAGAAAATGTTTTCATACAATAAAATTGTATCATATTCTTTCTCCTCTCCAACTCCTCCCAGATCTTCTCCACCTCCGGACCCATCCAATTTCTCTCTCTCTCTCTCTCTCTCCCTCTCTCTCTCTCTCTCTCTCTCTCTCTCTCTCTCTCTCTCTCTCTCTCTCTCTCAACAAAAAGCTATAAGAAAAAAAAATCCAAAATGAAAAGCTCGCAAAAGAACATGGAGTCTTTTTGTGTTAGCCAACTACTCCTCTGCCCTGGAGTGTGGTTGATATACCCAGTGACACTCCATTTCAGAAAAATGGCTTTCTGTTTCCAAGCAGGTACCAATTATTTTTTTTTATTTTTTTTTTTAATTTTCTGGAGCTGAGGACTGAACCCAGGGCCTTGCGCTTGCTAGGCAAATGCTCTACCACTGAGCTAAATCCCCAACCCCCAGGTACCAATTATGAATAACTTCTTGGTTAGGGCTGGGACTTTGTGTCCATTTTCCGTTCTCAGTGCTGGGAATTTGTCTGGTTTGAACCCATGTGGGCCTTGCTATCACCATCTCTTTGAGTTCCTATCTGCATCGGCCCTATTGTGTCTGGAAAACAGTTTCCTTGGAGTCCTCCATCACCTCTGGCTCTTACAATGTTTCTGCCTCCTCTTCGGCATGGATCCCTGAGCCTTGAGGAGAGGGTGTTTGATAAAGACATCTTATCTAGTACTAAGAGCTCCAAACTCTCCTACTCTCTGCATATTGTCCATGTGGGTCTCTGTTAATGACCATCTCCTGCAAGAAGCTTCTCTGATGAGAGGTGAGTGTGTGAGTAATGAGTACAGCAATGTGTCATTTGGGGTCATTTTATTGCTGTCTTCCTTTAGCGGAATCACAGCAGCAGGTTTTCCCCTAGGCTCAAGACCTATCCAATCCCAGTTCTTGGCCACTTGAGCAGTGTCCCATGTCACTGAGCAGTCCTCAAAGCCGATCAAAAGTGGCTGGTTACACCCGTAACATTTCACCGTTGCCCCAGTATATCTCGTGTTTTTAGGTCACAGAGTTTGTAGCTAGGTGATGTTGATGCTTTCTCTTCTCTGGAACGGAGCAAAGCACCTCTTAGCACCATGAACACCTCCACATAAAGCCAGCAGTGGGGACATGATAGCATGCACCACTGGTCCCACTACTGCTACAGTGAGATGGAAAGCCGAGAGAGAGGATCCACGGGAGCTTGCAGGAAGGCCAGCCTGACGCATGCAGCAGTGAACAATCAGAGTTCGTTTTAAGCACGGCTGTAGTGGTAGCTGTTCCAGCTTTGACCTTGAAGCACTGCCCCCGTGAGGCAGCTGGTAACTGCCACACTGACCTAGGACCTGCCCCTGGGGTGTGGCCGGGACAGGAGCCCTTAAGACTGGAGATCCAGACGTGCCGGCCCTCTTGGCTCCTCGTGATCCTGGATGTTGGATGGCAGACCAAGTCAGAGTTCTCCAGAGAACCCCGCTGGACTGCACCTCACCTCTCCCGGATCCTGTAACCAACCCCTTTACTGGCTGGCTGTAAGTTACCCCAAAATAAACCTCCTTTTAACTACGTGGAGTTGCCTCGTTAAATCCCCACACTACACGGGAGAAGCCAAGGACTGATACCCGGGTTTGTCCTCCATCCTCTGCATGTGCGTGCGTCTGTAGTCACAAGAACACATGCACACACACACACACACACACACACACACACACACACACACACACAATGAAAAATAACCCAAAACAAGCGAAAGCCCATAGCTTACACAAACCCCTCTCCTCTCTTTTTCTTCTGGAAACTTTCGTCTACTGCAAGCGGCCTCACACTCCAAGCCCTGAAGAAGCAGTGTCCCTGTGGTCAGCTTTCAGGGGACGCAGCAGTCCCCCTGCTCAGCTCAGCCAGCAGCTTTCTGTCTTGAGGAGCCAATGCTGTTATAAAAAGGCCAATGTTTTCCAGTGTGTGCAGCTACCACTACAGGCCACATTCCCAAGATCTAGACGGGACTGGTGTTCTCCCGTGTGGCTTCCTATGGAACACTGAGGATAACTGGGTCCTGGCTGAGGAAAACTGAATGTATTTCATGTTTTTCAATCAAGAAGCTGGTTTGACTTTGGGTCATTCTCAACTTTTTTTTGCCTTACTGCTCAAATACAGTCTCTACAAGTGTGGGGGTCAGAAAGAAGAAATGGTATTCCAGCAGCATTTCTGTAAGAAGCTCACTTGCTAGTCAGTATTAGAATAACCCCGAATACCTCTAGACTTTGATAAACCAGATAGATTTGTATCTATCCAGGGTAGGGTAGGAGCTGGAGAGAAGGGTTTTGACTAAACACAGATGAAGTGATTCAGTGCCGCTGAATGTTCTTCAGAACATTCAGAACAGCCAATGATTCCATTTTTCTGTTGCCCTGGTAGCAGCCTTCTCAAACTACAGTGTACTTCCTATCTATAAACATCATCATTCCTTGCTCTGGGGTTGTTTGATATTAAAGACGGGGTGGGGTCTTGGATAGCCCAGGATCGCCTCCAGCTTGACATGTAGCCACCTCCTCCTGAGTGCTGGTATTATAGGCATGGACCACCATGCCCAGCTTTCTGAGGTTTTTGCAAGAACTGCCCTTTAATGAAAGCAAAACCTGAATGCACACCTGCTATCGGAGTCCTTCCATAGGGTATTGCATTTATAATGTAGGTAGTGGAATGAAAAGGCTTTCAGGCATGGAAAGAATGGGAGACGCTGAGAAGAGCTGTGTCCGATGGCCTGGAGGAGAAGGGTGAAGGCAGGTCAGACACCCCGTGGTTTCAAGCCTGTGTGATTGTGGGGCCAGGGACAACTGCGACATCCCAGAAGAAACGTGATGCCACCGTCGGGGAGAAAAATGAGGTTCTTGACGTTCCTAACTGCACGCAGTGGCATGGGCCTCTGTGCTGGAGAGGAAAGGCCGTCCACTGCTTGATGACATCGATTCACGTGATGACTGTGACTGCTGGACACACTGTCACAAGACGCAGCAGCACAGCCGTTTACTGGACTCCCAGGTTCTATGCCGGCCCCGATGGCACAGCTGGGACATCTCTTCTCTGCTCCGTGGTATCGGGGGGTCTCAGCAGGATGACCTGAAAGCTAGAGGCTGGAAGCAGCGGAGGGCTGATTTATTCTTATGTCTGGAAGTGGAGGCTGACTATGTACTTGGAGCCTCTGCTCCTCTGCACGCGCTATGAATCTGGGTTCCCACACAGCATGGTGGCTGGCTTCTCTGGAGCAAATTGCCAACTCCAGCATTTGTCAAAAGAGCTCTTGAAGCCAGGCAGTGGTGGCACACACCTTTAATCCCAGCACTCGGGAGGCAGAGCCAGGTGGATCTCTGTGAGTTCGAGGCCAGCCTGGGCTACCAAGTGAGTTCTAGGAAAGGCGCAAAGCTACACAGAGAAACTCTGTCTTGAAAAACCAAAAAAAAAGAGCTCAACCTCAACAGTAGAGCATTGGGGCAGGAGAGTTGGCTCAGTGGTTAGGGTTTTGGGTGAAGGCTTTTTCTGGCTTATAGGCTGTACCTTTTCACTGTGTCCTCACATGGTAGAGACAGGGAGGAGAAGAGAGAGGAGAAAGACACAGGACTAAGAAAAACATGACCTGGGCGGTGGTGGAGTACGGCTTTAGTCCCAGCACTCGGGAGGCAGAGCCAAGCAGATCTCTGAGTTCAAGGCCAGCCTGGTCTATAGAGCAAAATCCAGGACAGGCACCAAAACTACACGGAGAAACCCCTGTCTCAAACAAAACAAAACAAAAAACAAAAAAAGAAAGAAAGAAAAGATGAAACTGAGCACTGTCCCGCCCCCTCTTCTCCTATTGGATTAGGACCTTATGCTTCTGATAATTATTTTTTTTCTTTCTTCAGTTATTGCGACAGAATCTTACTATGCATCCCTGCTGGCCTGGACTCACGTTCAGACCTTCCTGCCTCAGCCTGCAAAGTACTGAGACGACAGATCTGTGCTGCCACCCTTAGCTTCATTCAATCTAATTACCTCCTAAATGCCTACCCGAAATGTGGCCACATTGGGTTAGGACTTCTATGAGTTTAAAGGAACAACGCGGGTGGGTCACCATGGCAACCTGTCTGATAATGCCTTAGAATGGCCCCAAGGGATCAACTTTAACCTTCCCTAATTTGGAACTCTGCCAGTTCCCAGGCAGCTACCTAGGGCCATTTGCTGGCAGGCAGCAACCTAGGACCATTTGCTGGAACCATTAAAGACAAATGTATTAACCACAGCTGTGTGAAATAACGGGTAATAGCTGAGCAAACAATAGACTTAGCCCAAAAGCTTGTTAGGAAAGATCAAAAAATGAGATGCTTCGGTGAATTAGGGCTTTGAGAAGTCCTGTTGCTTTCTTGGCTGATATGGGTTTATGTATGTCCCCCTCCCCCACCCCTCCAAGACACACTCAATGTCTAACACTTAGTAACTCAGAATGCAACCATATTTAGAAAGTGTGTGTGTGTGTGTGTGTGTGTATTAAAATGAAGACAGACCCCCTAACCATGACTGGTGTGCTAACAGGATGTGTGTGTATGCGCGCGTGCGCGCGTAAGCATCAGAAAGAGAGACATTAAAATATGAAGGCAGACCCTTGCTTGCATTACTGTCAGGACTTGCACATACCCTCTTTCTCATCTGCCTGGCTTGCTTCCTTCCACGGCTTGATCTCAAATGTTAAAACTTCAGGGCTCTCTGATTCTTCTCCATCCATAGGTCTTTCCAAAACCCAAACTACATGACTTAACAGCACCTCTCTGCCAGACAGCCTCAGTCTCAGACTGCTCTGCAGTCAGGCCAGAGCTTCGGGCTCTGGGCTTTGTAAGCATCTCACTGCTTGTGGTTATCCCTGTCTGCATCAGCTTTCCACTTAACACACTAAGTCACTGTTTGTCCAGCACCAGTATCTACCCAGTTACTCAGGCTAAAAACCTAGGAGCTGCCCTTTCAAGTCCTGTCAATCATGTGTAGCTATCAACACCTCTGAAACAGCCCTGACGTGTCCACATCTACCTCTACTGCTACCACTCCAAAGCCAGCCACTGTTAGCCCTTCATTACAATAGTCTTTGATAGTGAATCCAGCAAATGGAGCAATTAGAGAGTTGGAGAATTAAAAACATCCCCCAGACGTACCTCCATGTGGTTCTGGGAATGACTCAATGAAATGTGGTAGAGCAATCCTACAAACAGAAGAGGGCAGTCCTGCTGTTGGCGTGGGCAAGCAAGGTCACTAAAGCACAAGTGTTACCTGGCCAGCTTCACGGGCGAACAGCCGTGACAACCGTGCCAAGCTTCCTGAACTCACCATGGTGGAGCTTCCTGGGTAGTTCCCCTAATTATCCTCCCACTAAGCCTTCCATTGGTTTGTGTGAGAGCCTTATTCCTTGTTTCAAATTCCTTTGTGATCACAACACCTAAGTAGGGGCTGGAGAGATGGAGCAGTAGCAAGACCACTTAAACGTAGTTCCCAGCACCTACATCAGATGGCTTACAACTATCTCTAACTCCAGTTTCAGGGGCTCTGGTGCCATCTTCCAGCCTCCACAAACACATGATGGTGTGCTGTTCAAATCTTAGGTGGTCTTTCAATAAAAAACCCAGAGCCAGTTAATAGGGTGAAAGCTGAAAGATCAGAGAAGCAGAACAGCCTGCCACTAGTTCTTACCTCTACGAAATCCTCAGCCGAAAGACAGCGTGTTCCTGTTTCCTCAAGCATTATATACTTTTCTCTGCCCTGCCATATTACTTCCTGGGATTACAGGTGTGTGTGCTTCCCAAGCAAAGGCTTGAGATCTCAACTGCTGGGATTAAAGGTGTGTGCCACCACTGCCTGGCTCTGCGTCTACTCTAGTGGCTGGATCTGTCCTCTAATGCTCAGGCAAGTTTATTAGGACACACAATGGCGCCCAATATGGGGTGCCAAAAAATGTAGCCAGAAGTTTCTCTAGTCCTGCCCAGCCCCATGGTTGGGACAAATCTTTCCCACCCACATCCTGCAGCCACTTGGTCCCAAGTAAAAGAGGCTTATATTATTTACAAACTGTATGGCCTATGGGTTAGGCTTCTTGCTAGTTAGCTCTTATAACTTAACCCATTTCTATTAATCTATATGTTACCATGTGGCCCTGGTGTTACTGGTCTGCAGACATCTTGCTGCTCCTTGGGTGGCAGACTGGCGTCTCCGACTCCACCCTTCTTCATCTCGTCTTCAGTTTGAATGTACCACCTAACCTATCCTGCCCTGCCATAGGCCGATGCAGCTTTATTTATCAACCAATCAGAGCAACACATATTCATAGTGTACAGAAAGACATCCCACAGCACTGGTGCACACGCGCACGCACATGTGCGCGTGTGCACACACACAAATACTAAATCATTTAAGAAATACCTAAGTGCTCTCTGCTTCCAACTCCCCACTCATAGGTCTTACCCCAATCCATTCTCCATTAAACACAATTTCTTAAAATATAGGTCACTTCTGTTCTGAATTCTCCAGTAGGTTCCCACATTTAAATTACAGTCTAAATGTTTTACTAGGTTCCAGAGACCTAATGATCAGGTTTCTGCATACCTCTCTAACAGTATCTAGCCACTGGACTCCTGATTCCCTGGTCCAGGCAGAGTATGTTTAAATCTCTACATGTAGTCTGCATACAATGTTCTTTCCTCCTCATATATCTCATCTTTCATGCTTAGATTACAAACTCCACCCCCATACCTTATTTTGTGTTGTCTTTATTTAGTTTTCTTACACCTCTAGGAACACCTGCATTCTGGCCATAAGGAGAATGCATCCCTTGCATCAAACCCGGGACTCACATCTTGACAGAATAAATCTGAGTGAAACTCAAGGGTAGATTTTATTCATTATTCGATTAGCAAGAACTGTGGGGGATTTTTTTGTTTTTGAGACAGGGCCCATGTAGCCCTGGCTACTAACCTGGAACTCCCTATACAAACCAGGTTGGCCTCTACCTTCAGGGATTATAGATGTAAACCATCAGGCCAGGCTCTGCAAACTATTGCTGAATACTGCTTAAGAGAGTATAATTTTGACATCAAGGCCCAAGTGGTACTATAGCAAATTGTTATGGGACACATTATATTTAACATTTTTTTCTCTGACAGGAGAAATAAGATATGAAAAATACATGAAAGCAAGCCCTTTTAAACACTGCGGCTAGAACCTGTCTACTCAAAAATCAAGTTTTTTTTTTTTTTTTTTTTTTTTGGTTTTTCGAGACAGGGTTTCTCTGTGTAGCTTTGCGCCTTTTCCTGGAACTCACTTGGTAGCCCAGGCTGGCCTCGAACTCACAGAGATCCGCCTGGCTCTGCCTCCCGAGTGCTGGGATTAAAGGCGTGCGCCACCACCGCCCGGCAAGTTGTTTTTTTTTTTTTAATGTGTTAGAGACAAGAGGGGGAAGGGGAACTTGTGGGTAGGTTGCAGTTGGCATTATTACCAAATGTCTGCCCAACGACTCTGCTCTTACAAGCCATGCTATTGGCTTTTAAAGCCAAATGAACTGTGCATCTCCCCTCTCCCTTCCTGCTCCATCTGATGGGATGCTTCCATTTGACAAGGTCTGTAGGGAAACAGCGCCACCTGCTGGGCAGAGCCTGTTCTGCACCCATGTTAGCATTAACCCTGCCCGTCAACCTTCCCTCTGCAACTCTACAAACATCAGTCAGGCTTAGCAACCAAGGCCAGCATAAACCGCAGATCTCTCCACTCCAGAATTACTGATTAGAGAATCCTCTCCCTAAAACAGAACAACCAAGATGTAGAATACTCAGCTACCTCTCTAGCACCATGCCTGCCTGCATGCCGCCATGCTCCACCAGGATGACAATGGACTAATAAGCCTCTGAATTGTAAGCCACCCCAATTAAATATTTTTCTTTTATAAGAGTTGCCGTGGTCATGGTGTGTCTTCACAGCAGTAGAAACCCTAACTAAGACACTGTTATTAAAGGATAACCATTTGTCATCCGCCCATAAACCTGTCTACAAAAATACAGATTTAATCCTTTCATGAGTTTGTGATTTACAAATTATTTACAAATTATTTCCATTTCTATGACTTACGAAAACTTGATTCTAAATCTAGTCTGTCTGACCCAAAATCTGAATCAACATAACATTTTTTCTCTATCTCCTTCCCCCCTCATATTTGCGAGACTTTTCCTCATAGTCAACGCATCCCCAAAGTTATTCCTCCAGGATTTTCTTGAGCAATTAGAAAAATAACTTTTTCCTTCAAGCATTTTCTTATACAGCTTTGAAAAAAAATGAGGTAGTACCAGGTGATGGTGGTGCATGCCTTTAATCAGCACTCAAGAGGCTGGATCTGGGAGTTCAAGGACAGCCTGGTCTACAGAGAGAGTTCCAGGACAGCCAGGCCTACAGAGAGAAACCTTGTCTCAAAACAAAACAACACTAACAAAAAGACGAGATGGCTCAGTGGGTAAAGGCTCCTGCCAACGAGACTCATGACCCAAGTTCAATACCCAGGTCCCCAGATGGTAGGTGAGGAGCAGCTATCATCAACTGTTCGGCCCCCCCTTACACACACACACACACACACACACACACACACACACACACACACACACACACACACACAATTAAAATGTGGAGGAAAAAACACATTTTTTTGTATAGTTATAAAAATTCCAAGAAACGTCATTCTGCGTTTACTGTCGGAATTAAACAGTAACAACATTCAAACACCAGCTGAAGCTAGGTAACGATTTTCATTCATAGTCTGCTAAAAGAGACATGCGCATTACACACTCAGTGCGAAAACTAAAGAACGTCCAACCATTCAGCTGCTCCGGGCTTACTCTCCTGTTTGCTTCTGGCGCATGAGGTACAATCAATCCACAATCTATATGAAACTGAAAGAGGAAAACGCCTTTATTAATTAATTACACGAAGCTGACAGGAAATCCTGTCAGAGTGGCATCGGGATAAACAATACTGTTATAAAATGTACATCTTCACATCCATTTCAGAGGGAATATTACACATTAGAGCTCTTTGTGGCGTTATACTGGTTTCAATAAAACATTTTTTAAAAATAGTCATCAACATATATTCTCAAACTATGCTAAGACATAAAAAGGCAACTATCAAACCGTGCTAACAATGGCAGGGTGGCGGGGCCACTGCCACACGGGCTGCTTGTGACCACCGCTCTAGAGGCGGACGCTGCCTAACACCTACTATACCTGACTGATCACACCAACCCTTTCTCTGAGGGGAAGCGAGGCCTGTCTCCTGTACACAGGGACGTGAATCTGGGCGCAGCAGGGTGATTGAGTCCACAAGGAGACATGGTCGGTGGGTCCCTCTTACGGATGCCTTTGAAGCACTTCCAGTTTTAAAATAACAAGGTCTCTGGATAACAATTTCTCAAAACTGCTCCCCACTTCAGTGAGGGATGTGATACCATCACACATTTGGTCTGTACCTTTGCAGTTTCTTTCTATCAAATGCACTCTCGTGCACTGGTAAGACTTAAGAGTTACGGTCTACACAGAAAGCATCTTTACATGAATTTGGTTCTCACGGAACTGACAACTTTTCTCACATATGTGCCTGTGGAAATTAATCTGAGCACACACACATACATGTAGATACACTTGCATATGTCTGTGTGCACACATAAGTAAGTTACTGTTACAATTAGAATAAAGCTGGACATCGGGGGGGACAGTTGCGCCTCGCTCGGAACCTGCTCTATGTTGACGGCAGGTAGAGCTCACTGAAGGACGTGATGAGGTTGTAGTATGTCTTCTCATCGTCTGTTAACCCTGCATTACCAGGTCTCACCACCACAGCGACATGCACGTCTGCCTCCTCAGCAGCACTGGCCTCTGGGAAATCAAAGCACAGGTGAGACACACACTAAAAAGCACCTGACTGAACACGAGAGACAGAAACACAGCCCATCCTACACTGTGCTTTAATTAGAGCTACTGATGACTCAACACAGGCTTGCTCTGGCCCACACCCTTTGTCCGTTCCTACAAATTAGCCCCAGACAGCTGAGCTGTTTCTCAAAGGGCAAGCTGTAGGGTCTAACTCACCAATTAAGTAGACAGAGAACAAGGGTGGCCTATGATCTAATCTGGCCAAAGTACAGGCTCTAACCTCAGGTCCCAACAGGTCATGCATGTCCCCTGCCTAGATGCCATCTTTTTTGCCTGACAAATTCCTACTCTTCAGACTTCCACTCAAAACATGACGCCATCCAGAAGCGCCATTCCTGTATTAGAGCGGCCCGCATGCGTCTCACAGTCTGTACTCAGCTGTCCAACAATGCACTTTATTACTGTTTACCCTCCTTAGACTGTGGGTGCCTTAGATCAGTGACTGGGATGGTGCTGGGTGGCAGAGAGTAAAAACAAGGCCCGTCATATTCACTTAGGTAAGCTGGTGTTACAGGGGTATCTCTAATAGACCTTGGCTTACATTCATCTCTCCATTTTATTTTTATTTGAAAAACAACAGCTACTTTCATCTTCAAAAGCATCTACTCCACACTAGGAACCAGACTTGGATGAGAGATATGTGCACAAAACAGGGCTCCCGCCTTTGTGTGCAGCTCCCGTCCTCATCGTCTTTCCCAGCAACTCCAAGTACTTATGCTGTTAGCCCTGGCCCAGTCTACAGATACCGAAACAGAGCAAAGCAACTGTAGGCCTAAAACTTTTACTGTCAGCCTGACTCAATGCCCAATACTCTAAAACAGTGGTTCTCACCCTGTGGGTCATGACCCCTTTGATGAACCTCTACCTCCAAAAATATTTACATTATGATTCATAACAGTAGCAAAATTACAGTTATGAGATAGCAATGAAACTAATTTTCTGGTTGGGGTCCCCACAACTTGAGGAGCTGTATTAAAGGGTAGCAGCATTAGGAAGGCTGAGAACCACTGCTCTAGAACAAAGGCTGGCAAAGCACAGCACTCCGTCCTTAAAAGTCGTACTGGCACACGGCTACACCTGTTCATCTGCGTACTGTTTGTGACTGCTTTTGCACAAGAGAAGGCTGGATAGCTGTGACAGAGACTCTGTGGGCTGAAAGCTGCGTATTTGCTATCTGGTGCCAACTCTTCTTCATCTAGGCACCAAATACTGCAAGTGTACTCTGCAGACACCGCACGCTACAATTCCAACAAGTCTTCTCGTTTCCTTTCCTTCTTTAGTACCGTTGGCACCATCAGCTTGGTTTTCTGCCCTGCCCTGGATGTGACAGGATGGACACATGGTACAAACCCCACAGGAACAGAGCTGACAGAAGGGCAAAGCAAGCAACCGCCACCTCTCCCATCCCAGCTACAGATCATCCAAGTGCTGGGCCTCCGGCCTAACGGGAGGGGAGCTGGGGCGGGGCTTACTGGACACCTAGATAAAGCTGATTTTATTTTAAGGCCAATTTAGGATGGTATTCCCAGTCTTTAACATTGGGACTATAGCCAGGCATGGTAGCACACACCTTTAATCCCAGTATCTGGAAGGCAGAGGCAGGCAGATCTGAATTTGAGGCCAGCCTGGTCTACAAAGTAAATGCCAGGATGGCCAGGGTTACAGAGATGCCCTGTCTCAAAACAACAACAAACAAACAAAAACAGAGTTGGAATACATACTCCAGTTTCTTGTGACTGTATACATTTCCTTTTACTCATGTTAGAAATTAACTCCTTGCACTTCAACCCTAGGAAACGGCTTAAATTAAACAAGAAAGACTTGAGTGCAGGTCAGTTTTTGAAAAGTACCTAAAGACAAAACTATGAAGAAAGGCTAAGTAGTCTTGAAGGAGTTGTGGGCCAGTGAGATTGCTCGGCTAGTAAGAGCACTCACTCCCAAACCCGATGACACGAGCTCCATTACCCAAATCTACATGGTAGGAGAAACCTGACACCAACTCAGCACCAGCCACACACACTGTCTTCTAATCTCAGTGCACACAGAGCACCTGACTCCGGCATAATAAATGCATGGACACGTGAACAAGAGTTAGAGTTACTTAATGTGCACACGTGTGTGGATGCATGTGCCTGTGCACGTATGCCCATGGAGACAAGAGGACAACCTGGAGTGTCCTGCCTCAGGCACTGGTCACCTTTTTCTTCCTGACGCAGGGTCTTTCACCGGCCTGGAACTACCAGAAGCTAGGCTGGCTGGTGAGGACGCCCAAGGATCTCCCTGTCTCCTTCTCCCAAGAACCAGGATTACAAATATGCATTGCCCACACCAAGCATTGTTTCTCCCCCAGTGCACTTAGGTGTGGAAAAGGAGAACTTGCCAGGAAGTGGAAGGACCTAGGCGGTTTACAGAAGTCCAGCCCCAGCCTTGACATGCAAGAGAGCCCGGCCCTCACCAAACCTCAGGGCAACAAGGCCCTATGAATGGTACTACCTGCCCAGATTACAAACTTCAGCCAAGCTAGCAAGGAGTGACAATGTACTTTTCTTTCTATTAATATGTATGAAGTACACATGGTAGCAGCAGGTACCGCTGTGACATGCACATAATCATTTTATCACATTCACCCATTATCCTCTCTTGTCCCCGACCCCCTTCCTCTTATAGCTAGCCCCTTTTCTATTGTCATGTCTTTTTGGGGGGTAGGAGGGCTGCTCTCCCATTCTTGTGTGTGTGTGTGTGTGTGTGTGTGTGTGTGTGTGTGTGTGTGTGCACATGCATGTGCAGAGGGGATATGGTATCTGTGTGTGCCTGTGTGTATTACACACCTTACTGTCTTGAAACAGTCTCTCACTGAACTAGAACTCATTTGGGTTAGGATAGAAAGCTCCCAGAACACACCTCTCTTCACTACAGCTAAGATTTCAGGTACATACAGCCATACTTGGTTATGTGGGTCCTGGGGATCTGAACTCAGGTTCTCAGGATTGTATAGCAAGCACGCTTCCCACTGAGCAAGCTCCTAGTCCCAAACCCTCCCATGAGGGATGATTCAGACATCCAATAAGATACCACATATATGAGAACTACCCTAATGTGACTCTGAGCGGTCCTCCACAGCTCAGGCATCCCATCACTGGTCTCCATCAGGTGTTGCTAAGCTTGGGGAGGTTGTGGAACTTTCGGGAAAGAGGGCCTCCCTGGAAGATGTGGGCTAGGACGGGGTACGGTCCAGGCCCGCTTTGGTCTCCTGTGCTTCCTGCTCTGTGACTATGTGAGAGGTGACATGTGATCATGACGGCTCCATCCTCTGGACTACGAGCAAAACCAAACCTCTCCCCACTTAAAGCTGCTCCCCCTGGGTACTGCATCACAAAGACAACAAAAGGCCAGCTTCTTACCTAAAGTGACATCTGTGAGGAACAAGATGTTGTTGGTCAAGCACCCAATGCTATCTGCAATCTTCCGGTAACTCTCGCTCTCCACTTTGTGTCCTATCTTGGTATCAAAGTGGCCGTCAATAAGCTGAACAAGAGAATGAGAAGGACTATTCAGTACAAATATATGTGCAACATATCACGCCCGTTCACTGCAGGCCTTCCTCTGAAATGCATGCCAGGCACAGTGACTTCATTCCATAAATGTTTACTGAAAACATAGCTAATGGAGAACTTTATGGAAGCTATAAAAGAACAAAGACTTTATGGTAATAAATACTTGGAAGAAATCTACTAATTCAACCTATGTTTCATCTGGTTGCCATTAGCATTGTTTTGTACCCCAAATCACTTCAAATACGCATGCCCTACAACACTGTTTACATTCAAACTACTTAGCCTGGATTTTGCTCCAGATGAAAAAGAAGGCTGTGTCCGGGTGGTGGTGGCCCACGCCTTCCATCCCAGTACTCGGAGGCAGAGGCAGGCGGATCTCTGTGAGTTTGAGGCCATCCTGGTCTACAGAGCAAGTTCCAAGACAGCCAAGGAAGTTACACAGAGAAACCTTATCTCAAAAAAAACCAAAAAACAACAAGAAGATTGTGACTATTGACCTTCTGATCCTAGAATGAAAAGATGTCTAGCCAAGTGTACTGGCACATGCCTCTCATCACAGCAGTTCTAGGCAAGCAGGAGATTCACTACCAAGGTCAGCCAGATTCACACAGCACAATTCAGGCCAGCCAGGGCTGCACACCCAGACCCTACCTCAAAAAACAAAGTGCTGTGGGATGTTTTGTATGGCAAATGTGTTGCTGATTAGTCAATAAATAAAACACTGATTGGCCATTGGCTAGGCAGGAAGTGTAGGCGGGACAAGGAGGGGAATAAAGCTGGGAAGTAGAAGACTGAGTCAGAGAGACACTGCCAGCCGCCATGATGAGAAACAGCATGTGAAGATGCCGGTAAGCCACGAGCCACGTGGCAAGGTATAGATTTATAGAAATGGATTAATTTAAGCTGTAAGAACAGTTAGCAAGAAGCCTGCCACGGCCATACAGTTTGTAAGCAATATAAGTCTCTGTGTTTACTTGGTCAGGTCTGAGTGGCTGTGGGACTGGCAGGTGAGAGAGATTTGTCCTGACTGTGGGTCAGGCAGGAAAACTCTAGCTACAACAAAGCGTGAAAAGATATCTCTAACCAGAACCTTTATTAATAGGTTATTATTCTGCTTTCAAGAAACTTTCACTTTTCTTCCAAGACAGGATGACTGGAGCTATGGCTGACCTTGGACCTGAACTCCTGATCCTTGTGTCTCCATCTCCCAAGCTAGGATACAAGTAAGCACAGGCACACCCAGCTTCGTTTCTAATTAACACATCTTGGAACACTACCCTTGAGGGCTTGGACCTAACTGGGATCAAATGCTTGCTAATTTACCCAGTAGTAATTAAAGTAAGCTCATATTCAGCAGGTTCAGCTTTGACTGTCTGGATGTCTTTCGCCAACTAAAAGCAAATTTAACAATCAAAGACAGAAAGGCAATGTTAAGGTTTGAGGTGGTTTCTGCTACGGCACGCAGCCTAGGCTAGCTTCTGGGTGGTCCCCGTCCTCACCTCCTGGTCACTGTAACAGCGCTGGGGCGACAGTGCTGCTCCCAGTCTGACTTTTTAAATGGTTCCAGGAACTGAACTCAGGCCCTCAGGTTTCCTGGAAAGCACTTCTATCTGCTCAGCCATCCACAGGCCCAGGGTTGGTTGGTTGGTTTTTTAACTATGAAAAAAATTGAGACCGATTCTGCACACTTCTTTTCTCTATTTGCCTCCCCTGGTAACTGGAGAATGCGACTTTTACTACTGAAATCAGTAGGTAATGATCATGCCGTGGGTATGTTGACCTTACTGTCTATCTCACTGAATGGAGAGTCTTTGTATTTAGAAAATAGTCATCACTGATTAAAAGATCCCATTACTGGTTCGATATCTGATATAAAAGACAAAAAGAACATATACTAAAACTAGAATATGGCATTATCCAAAACCAAAATGTACCCTACACACCCAATATGGGCCCAGAAAAGACTAATTTTAGAGATGGGAGTATAGCAACTGGCCTCCAGAAAATTAAAGTTAGTTAGCCAATTAATTCTGTTTAGTTAGCCCTTCTGGGGAGGGCAAGAGTTTCTTCTGATTTGCTGATTGTCTGAGTTAGTGTTTCTATTGCTGTGGAGAGGCACCATGACCATGGCAACTCTTTTTTTTTTTTTTCCTCCTCTTCCTCCTCCTCCTCCTTTTTTGTCTTTTTTCGAGATAGAGTTTCTCAGTGTAATTTTGGTGCCTGTCCTGGATCTCGCTCAGTAGACCAGGCTGGCCTCGAACTCACAGAGATCCGCCTGGCTCTGCCTCCCGAGTGCTGGGATTAGGCATGTGCCACCACTGCCTGGCTCCATGGCAACTCTTATAAAGGAAAACCGTTCATTGAGGTGGTGGCTTAATGTTTCAGAGGTTCAGTCCATTATCACCATGGCGGGGAGCATGGCTTGAAATCTGTTTTCTGAGTTTGTGTGTGCAGGTGCATGTGTGGTTGTGTCTGAGGTAACAGCTCCAGAGCTCCTCCCCCATCACTCTCCACTCACGTTTTTAACATTATTGGTTAATTTTTTGTCTGTTGTGTTTGTGCATAGGCATGCTACAGAGGACAGCTTGGGAAAGGTGGTTTTTTTCTCTGTGTGGGTGCCAGGGATCAAACTCAACTCACTAAGCTTGGAGGTGAGTGCCTTTACTCATGGACCCAACTCGCCAACCTTTCCCTATTTTTTGAGACCTGGTCTCTCCCTGACCCTGGAACTCACCACTTTGGCCAGCAAGCCCAAATGATCCTCCTGTCTCTGCACCCCCAGTGCTGGAATGAGAAGCCCGTGCCGCGCAGCTTGGCTTCTGCATGGGTGCTGGGAATCAAACCCGGGTCCCCCGGCTTGCAGAGCAAACACTTTACCAACTGAGCTGTTTTCCCAGCCCCAGAACCCATTTTACACAAACTTCTGGTGATCCTTATACACAAGAAAAATTTATGAGACTTCCAACTCAAAAGCTGGTACTACACAAAATATTTCACCTGCTGAAAGCCAGGCAGAGCCAGGCACTCTCAGAGGCCCTGAGACAGCACAAAAGGAACCAAGCTCTGTCTTTGCCCAGGCGCAAGATTTGACAAGGTCCAATCGGGCTCGGAACAGGGCCTCGAAGGAGTTATGGTTTCTGTTCCTGGGAACTTGGCTTTCCCAAGAGACTGGAGTCATCAGTCCCAGGGCCGCTGTGCTCTGACATCTGAGACAGCCTGTGTCCCCTGGGCAATGTGCCTAACTTCCTGCTAGCTTTGTCCCATTGTCCCCCTTGCAAGCTGTACGTAAGATGCGGCATTCTTAATGAACTTGCCTGTGGGAGCCATCCGCTTGTGCAGGACCTCCTGACCCCAAACTTTCCTGGCTTCTCCATCTTCTCATCCTCTGGTCACCTCTCTCTAAGGAACCTGTCACTGAAGAATGACCTGCTGGCCAAGGTCATTCATCCTCTATAAGGCACCCTCGGTTTTTCCACATCTTTTTACGACAGTCAGTACAACTGTCTAGCTGTCAATTTAGCTTATTTAGTAGATTTTTTTATTATTTTTATTTATTTATTTATTTATTTTTGGTTTTTTTTCAAGACAGGGTTTCTCTGTGTAGCTTTGCGCCTTTCCTGGTACTCACTTTGGAGACCAGGCTGGCCTCGAACTCAGAGATCCACCTGCCTCTGCCTCCCGAGTGCTGGGATTAAAGGCTTGAGCCACCACCGCCCGGCCAATTTTTTTTTTTTTACTATTCAATATTTCATGCTTTGATAGTATCAAAACAAAGTAATCCAACCTGCTGGTTAGTTTTTGTCCACCTGACACAAACTAGAGTCATCTTTGAAGAAAAAAACCTCAATTAAGGGATTATCTCCATCAGGCTAGCCTCTGGGTATATCTGTGGAGCCCTGTCTTGGTTAATGACTAACGTAGGTGGTACCACCCTTGGGCAGGTGGCCCTTGGCTGCATGAAAAAGCAAGCCAATAGAGCAGCCCTCCTTTGTGGTCTCCACATCAGTGCCTGTCTCCAGCTGCCTGCTCAAGTTCCTACCCTAACTCCCCCAAAAGACTTGATATGGATGTGGAAGCCAAAGAAATCCTCCCCTCACAGCCCCGGTTGCTTTGGTCATAGTACTGATCACAGCAATAGCAAACAAATTAGGACACTGAGTAAAGTAACCTACCTCAAGAATATCTCCTTCTGTGGAATGCCCAAAGAGCAGCTTCTGAGCCTCTACGCTCCCTGAAGAGTAGATGTACACCTTCATTCCAGCCTCTCTCCACCTTTTGACTGCTGGAACCACATCTGAGAAGAACCTGGAGGAAAATCAGCAAGTTACAAAGCAGAAGCTCACCATCAGGCCAGATGAAAATCAGACAGTACAGAGATGCCATACCTCTTTGCCTCAGCTCAAATGGTAACCTGAGAAGCAACTCCATGAAACAGAAAATTCCTGCGTTTCTAATAAACAGGTCATTGGAGTTCCAGGATCACAGATTAGAAGCAACAAGTTTGGTGGAGAGAAGAGTATTTGACAATGAAAAGCATGAAGAGATGAAGTAAGTACTGCTAGTGGGTAGAGAGACGGCTCAGTTAAGAGCACTTAGTGTTCTCGCAGAGGACCCTAGTTCCGTTCCCAGCACCCACACGGCAGCTCACAACTGCGGGTAACGCCAGTTCCAGGGAATCCAATGTCCTCTTCTGACCTCCATGGGCACCAAGCATGTATGTGGTGTACTTACATACATGAAGACAAAAAACTTACACAAATAAAATAAATAAATCTAAGAAAGTGACTATGTTTTGCTGTGGGATGTTCTGTATGTCAAATGTGTTGCTGATTAGTCAATAATTAAAACACTGATTGGCCATTGGCTAGGCAGGAAGTGTAGGCGGGACAAGGAGGAGAATAAAGCTGGGAAGTGGAAGGCTGAGTCAGAGAGACACTGCCAGCCGCCACGATGAGAAACAGCATGTGAAGATGCCGGTAAGCCACGAGCCATGTGGCAAGGTATAGATTAATGGAGATGGATTAATTTAAGCTGTAAGAACAGTTAGCAAGAAGCCTGCCACGGCCATACAGTTTGTAACCAATATAAGTCTCTGTGTTTACTTGGTCGGGTCTGAGCGACTGTGGGACTGGCAGGTGATAGAGATTTGTCCTGACTGTGGGCCAGGCAGGAAAACTCTAGCTACAAATGGTGCCCAACGTGGTGGCAAGAGTTTCCACCTAAAAACCTGAAAAAAGATTCTAAAATGGAGCTAAAAACAGCTTCCTAATTGTCTCTCTCAAATGAGCGGCAGCTGCCGATTTGAGCTACTGGTGGGTTCCTATCGTGCACGCTCGACCTGCTGCCGTATGGCAGGAATGAGGCCTCTGCAAGTGGCACATTAAGCTGCATGGTGGATTTAGCCTTTGCAGGTACAAAACAAAAAAAGAGGTTTCTGGTCTACACGCTGCTTGGATAAAAGCATAGAGACCCACGATAGCTCCCAGAGCTGGTGGAAAACACCATGTTGGGAAGCTAAGGTGGGTGGAGCCAGCAGCTACAGCTGCTGCAGTTTAAGGCAATAGATTCACAATAAGACAGATTCAGATGTAATAGTTTAAAATGTGTGTAAAATATACGTAGGCTTGAAAGAGACAAAAAAGGTGATATATAGAGTTATAGAAACAAATACATAGTTTTAAAAAATAAAGTCTTTAAAGAAACAGTAAAGGTAGTATAAAAAATAAGCCACATAAAAATGGATATTACACAGAGAATCTGCATTGTGTTGTTTTTGGGACTTTTAACTGCAGAAAAACATTTGATTGTAAAAGCTGTTGAGTTATGCCAAAATGTATATTTTAAAGGTACCTTGACTTCAAAATTTGAATATAAGGATATGTTACTTTGGAAAGGAGACTCTGCTTTTGTTCCCACAGAAAGCCAGAGGCTATGGATTTGTTCCAGATTAAGATACATCAGGTTTGACCAGCCAAGATCCCCTGAAAAGTCTCCGATGACACCATGGCCCAGATGATCCAACATCCAGAATGGTTTGAAGGCAACTGGCTCAGACGATACACCCTCATGGACTTTTCCATAATCCTAAAATTTCCTTTGTATCCCCATAAGATACAGCGCCCCCCTCCAGCAGGAAGTAGTAAGAGAAGCTACGCCCAAATTCCCAAATTATATGTAATTTTACTTTGTTAAGGTTAAAACCTTCCTTTTTTTAAAAAAAAAAAAGGGGGGGAAGTGCTGTGGGATGTTCTGTATGTCAAATGTGTTGCTGATTAGTCAATAATTAAAACACTGATTGGCCATTGGCTAGGCAGGAAGTGTAGGCGGGACAAGGAGGAGAATAAAGCTGGGAAGTGGAAGGCTGAGTCAGAGAGACACTGCCAGCCGCCACGATGAGAAACAGCATGTGAAGATGCCGGTAAGCCACGAGCCATGTGGCAAGGTATAGATTAATGGAGATGGATTAATTTAAGCTGTAAGAACAGTTAGCAAGAAGCCTGCCACGGCCATACAGTTTGTAACCAATATAAGTCTCTGTGTTTACTTGGTCGGGTCTGAGCGACTGTGGGACTGGCAGGTGATAGAGATTTGTCCTGACTGTGGGCCAGGCAGGAAAACTCTAGCTACAATGTTTTAATTCTCAAGGAGCCAAAATAACATAAATAATGTTATTTAATGGATGCAGTTTATTTATAAGACTAATTTACCTTCACTGTGCTTTGAGAAGCCATGAAAATGCTTTCCTCTCAATTTTAAAAAGATTTATTTTAGTGTTTTTCTTGCATGTAAGAGTATTTCTTGCATATATGTAAGGACATACCCTGAAATTGCAATGCTTCCTTTAAAGGGCAGATCCTTGTGGCAGACATAAATATCTCATTTAGCAAAACAAAATACAAGAAATACATAAGAAACACAAGCAGCTGGAAATGGTCTTGAATCTGAGGATTTACATAAGGCAACTGACTAAAATCCTTTAAAAAATGAATCTCTGAGATCAGCTGGGTGTGGAAGTACACATCTACATTCCATCACTGAGAAGGCTGATGCAGGAGAATCCCGGTTTGAAGCCATGCTGGGCGACAGTGCCAGTCCAGGCCGGCTAGGAGATATACATACATGATGAGACCCTATCTTTAATTTCTTTACATCGTGTGTGTGTGTGTGTGTGTGTGTGTGTGTGTGTGTGTGGCTGTGCCTGCATGTACGTGCAAGTGCAGACACACACCTGCACACAGGCACATGTCATAGCACACATATCAAGGTCAGAGGTCAATTTGCAGTTGTTTATCTCCTTCCACAATGTAGATTCCGGGGACTGAACTCAGGCTGTTAGCCTTGGCTGCACTCGCCCTTGCTCACTGAGCCATCTCACTGGCCCGAGACTGTTATGTTTTGTTTTTCAACCTCAGCAATGCAACACTCGGCAGGAAGGCTAGCAGAAATCCCGGAACTGAGACTCAAAAAGCAGAAGTAACAGTGCCCGCCAGTGACCTCAAAGTAACATGACTTCATGGCCTTCGTACTTCTCTTTCTCTGATTTTATTATTTTATGTGTTTGAGTGTTTTGCATGCATAATGTATATACATGCCTAGTGACTGTGGCGGTCAGAAGTGGGCACTGGGTGCCCCAGAACTGCTAACTGCTGAGCCCTCTCACTTCTCTCATCAGCAAAGAGCTGGCTGGGAACAGCAGACCCGCAGTGCCCTCACCGTGTGAGTGCCACTGGCGTGCTGCAGGTGAACTGACCTGGCTGGCTCACAGAAGGCTCAGGGAAGTCCAGCTCCCAAGTGCTGATACCACAGATGTACACCACACCAGGCTGAAGTTGCCACGTTCTAGGAAGCTACTTTAAAATAGAACTAAAAGTCTTTCACCCACCCACAGAGCCCCAGATCTAGGGGACTAAGCTGAGAAAATGATTCTGGAAAATAGAAAACAACTCATTGGCTATCATAAAAGCAATACCAATTTTATCTTTTTGTTTGTTTGTTTTTTCTGCGATAGGGTCTCTATGTACCCTGGATTTCCTAGAACTCAAGAGATCTGCCTGCCTCCTAAGTGCTAGGATTAAAGGTGTGTGCTATCATGCCTAGCAACTTTATTTTTTACTAATTGTGCAACTTAGAAGGCAGAAAGGGGAATAGTGAGGGGAGTATGTGGATTGGGGCCTATGAAATGTTTTATCATTAGAGCACATACTCTGCCTTCATGCGGCCAGCTGTGAATGCCGCCTTCCACATGTGGCCCTGCAGCTGTTTGAGCGCTGTGGTCTTTCGGTCATGAGACATCTGCCAGTACACATTATCTACCACAGCCTGGATCATCTGCTGCAGATCATCCACTGCGTCTCCAGATGCCACAGGGATTGGAACAACCCCATCCAGGTGTGCATCCTCTTCAGCCTTTAATCAGAAACAAATCAAATTTATTTATGTGTACATTTAAAGAGTGTTATATGCTTGCACACACACATACACTCATGCATTCATGTATTTAAAAAAAAGATACAACAAAACCAGGCAGATCAATTTCTTCAACTATTAATTGTCCTGAGAACTGCTAAAAATTATTCTTAAATGATCTGGCAAAAATGGATCACTAGGTAAAAAGCACTTGCCACTAAGCCTGAAGACCTGAGTTCAATCTCTGGGACCCACATGATCAAAAGGAGAGGAAACAACTCTCTCTCAAGCTGTGCTCCGACTCCACAAGTGTACACACACACACACACACACACACACACACACACACACACACACACACACATATACACACACAAACACACATACTCACACACACACATACACACACACCCCTAAAATAAATTCATATACAAGGACTTTGCAACAATGCGATACATTATCTGAACATAGAATATGTATGTATGGAACCTTTGTTGAGACAATTAAAAAAAAAAATGAGTATTTCAGAATAACCTCAAGTTATCCAGAAAACTTAGCAAACCCCAATACTGCATGATTCAACAGATGTTACAATTATTACTAATCCTAACTTATCACCATAGATAAAAGACACGTGGACAGCATTCTACAATCCGGTGTAGGAAAACTGCTGGTCAGGGCTGTACAACATGCAAGGTCTTTGCCACCAAAGTCAGCACTCCATGAGAAGAAGGAAGTACAGACCGGATAGAGAGCGGCAGAGAGCAGTCTGCAGCTGGGCCAAGGTAAACTGGCTGAGAAGTCTGGAGGACGGCAGGCCTCGAAGACCCATGAGCACTGTAAGGGGATAGCTTCATGCCATGAGGTAGGTAGGACAGTAGAAAATGACAAGGGGCTAGCACTCTGTGACATTAATGAAACGTGATGAGACTGCACAAAACCTTGTGTATTGCACCAGAAAGGCTTCATTTTTCAAATACTCAGGCTTTCACACAATTTAAATAGTTGCTGAAAGAAGCAATTCTGCAGACAACAAAGTGCCATGACTTGCTTGTTTTACTACATGCTATGAACCGCTAGGCAGGTAAGTCACTGCACTCCTATCCCCAGGATCCGGGGCGCTGACTGACTGTGCGCTCACAGTGAACTGCTAGGCAGGTAAGTCACTGCACTCCTATCCCCAGGATCCAGGGCGCTGACTGACTGTGCGCTCACAGTGAACTGCTAGGCAGGTAAGTCACTGCACTCCTATCCCCAGGATCCAGGGCGCTGACTGACTGTGCGCTCACAGCATGTCTTAAGTCTCCGGGCATCCTCCACTCTGAGACTCTGGGAATGTGGAAGAAGAGTCCTGACCTGTTTCCTCAGCAGGCTGACATCCTCCTGACACTCCTCCTCGTCCCAGTGTGTCTGCAGGTACTCCTTGACATTTTCTTTGATGTAAGGAAATAAAGTGTCCTGGGGGAAAAACGGGCACAATGAAGAAAGAAAGGAATATTATTTTTTAAATTGCACCACATGATCTGTGTTTTATAATCTCACCTTAACTAACAAATTCAACACTGGAAGTCTCAATAGAAACTGCTGTTGTGGTCTCCTAGTGGGACACATGAGGAGACTATGAAACAGGTACACTAGACCAGAAACTGGTGAGCTGGTCCTGCTTCTATTTATGAAGTTTTGTTGGAATTCAGCCACAATCATTTACTTACATATTCTCTGGCTATTTTGGGGCCACAATGGCAAGAGTTGAGACCATTTAGCCCACAAAGCCTAAAACAAGCTCCCCAGCCATTTCCACAAATCTGTTAACTCTCAGACTACATTGTCAGACCATGGAGTCTTTCTGTTTGCTCACTTTGCTTTTGTTTTGTTATTATTTTTTTATTTTATGCGTATGGGGGTTTACCTTTGTACGTATGCTCACAGAGCATGTCAGATGCCCTGGAAATGGTTTTTTGGGTTTTTTTGGAAATGAGGAGGGTTGTTTTGTTATATTTTGCTGCTTAAGTTTGCTATGTAGTCCAGGCTAGCCTAGAACTCCCATCCTCCTGCATTGGCCTAGTAAGTAATGGTACTATAGGCATAAACTACCATACCCAGCCAAGAAACCGAAGGGAAAGCTTGGGGAAAATGGTAACAGAACCAATCAGAGGTTCTAAAACTATTAACTCACAACCCTGGGGTGTTCCGAGACCTTCTGGGGAACCTGAAAAGTCAAGGTATTTTCCTAGAACACTAAGATGTTGACATTGTCAATGATAATAAAGAAACTTTTATAGGTAAGTTAGCAGAGTGACTAATTTAGCAATGGTTGCCAGTCACCTTCAAACAAGTATTCAGTTTCTGATCAATTTTAAGAGGTCACCACCTCCTTCTTTCCTTCCTTCCTTTTAGTTAGAGTATGCAGTGGGGTTTTCCACAGGCCATGGAGGTACCACAAAGACCAAATACAGATATAAGAACCCAGACATCAGGGCTGGGGAGATGAAGAGCTCTGGCTGCTCTTGGAGAGGACCCAGGTTCCATTCCCAGCTCTCACATGATGGTTCACAACCACCTAACTCCAAGTACAGGGGATACACCCCCTCTTTGGGGGCACTGCATGCACACTGTACACACACATTCAGGTAAAACACCCATACACAGGTAATAAAAAAAATTAAAGAATCCAGGTATCTTCAATAATAGACGCTCAAGGGATGTACAAAAATGCATTCCTTTTATTTAGCTTTAAATGTCACATCTAAATCAACCCCACCTTTCCCAAGACACAGGGAAAATGTCACATCTAAATCAACCCCACCTTTCCCAAGACACAGGGAAAATGTCACATCTAAATCAACCCCACCTTTCCCAAGACAGAGGGAACACCTCATGGAAGAGCAGGCAGAAAGAGTGTCAGAGCCAGAGGACAGGAAGGGGGCTGTGCACTGCTGTCCTCTGTACGGTTTGCAGTTATCTGTACAAGATCAAGCCAGTCGAAGTTCCAGCATGGATGGGGAAGGGTGTGCCAGAATCCACACCTAACAAAGGACCTACGGGCTGCTGGCCGCCAGGGGACAGGGAGCTCATTTTTCCTTGGGGATATGGCCACTGGCAGGTTGCTCGGTTCCAATTTCTGTTGCTTCAATAAAACATTCTGACCAAGACCAACTTAAGGGAGGAAGGATTTATTTGGCTCATACTTCCAGGTCACAGTCCACCATTGTGCTGGCTAGTTTTATGTCAACTTGACACAAGCTAGAGTCATCAAAGAGGGAACCTCAATTGAGGAAATGCCTGTAGGGCATTTTCTTAGTGATTTATGAAGGAGGTCCCAGCCAATTGTGGGTGTTGCCATCTCTGGTGGTGGTCCTGTGTTCTATAAGAAAGCAGGTGGAGTAAGCCAGTAAGCAGCACTCCTCCACGGCCTCTGCATCAACTCCTACCTCCAAGTTCCTGCTCTGCTTGAGTCCCTGTTCTGACTTCCTTTTGAAGACAAATAAACCCTTTCCTCTCCACCTTGCTTTTGGTCATGGTGTTTAATCACAGCAACAGAAACCCCTGAGGGCAGGAACTCAAGCAGGAGCATGAAGCAAAAACCCTGGAAGAAGGCTGCTCTGCAGGCTGTTTGCTGGCTTTCTTACACAGTCCAGGATCGCTGCCAGGGATGGTGCTGTCCACAGTGAGCTGGGCACACACCCCGTCAATGAGAAGTCAAGACAGTCAGTCCCCCTCAGGCCAATCTGATCTAAGCATTTACTCAAGCCAGGCTTTCCTCTCTGATGGCTCTAGGCTATGTCAAGTAGACAAGGCTACCTAGGCTGGCCACACCCATTACCATGAGCACATAGGCAGCACTAAGTGGACCCAATGAGGTATTATTTTCTAAAGAGGAGAGAGAGAAGACGATAAATAAAGTTGGGAAGGGCAAAAGTTGGGAGACTAGAGTCCAGGACAGTTCAAGAAAAGAACTGGCAGGTGGTGGGGAGCCAGACCCATCCAAGACTTTTTCAGAGGCCCTAATGAAAGGGCAAAGGGAAGCTTGGTTCAGTGTCCTTGTCTAGGAGACAAGAGTGTGGCTTTCGGGGACCCACCTCTTCCCCTGGGCTGTGGTTATCAGCCTAAGGCAGCTGAGTCTGAGACATCCCGTGCGCTCTTTGCCAGCACTGTCTGATTTGGCTCTCGGCTGACCTTGGCCATGTTTCTCTTGCAAACAGTATATATATGGTGCTGTACTTCTTAATAAACTTGCTTGGCATAAAACAAAGCTTGTGCAAGACCGCCAGAGCCCAGCATTTACCTCCTGTCTCTGTCTTCTCATCCCCTGGCACCTCCCCATCAGGACTCTGTCACTGAACAACGGCCTGCTGTTCCGGGTCAGGGTGGAAGTGACTAAAATTGTCTATGTATGTTAACAGATAAAATATTGCTTAAAAATGCACTCTTCTAACATTTTTCCCCAAACAAGCATTTTTCATGCCTATATTCATGTTAACAAAGTACTGAGGCTTACTGTCCCTATTTAAAATGAAAAGTCCTTAGCCGGGGGTGGTGGAGCATGGACTTCTATGAGTTCAAAGTCAGCCAAAGCTACACAGTGAGATCTTGTCTCAAAACAAAACAAAGTAAATAATAACAGTAATGATTAATAGGCTGGAGAGATGGCTCAGCTATTAAAAGACTAGGCTCACAACCAAAAATATAATAACTAATAATGAAAGGTTCTCTACTGCTCAGTGTTAATTCCAATATGATAAATACATAAGTAGGACCAGAGGTTAAACAGATCAATCCAGAGTAATTTCCACACTGATACACCGTGATCAGAAAAGGTTCTCAGGTAGGGTGACCTTTTCTACTCACTGTAAAAATTACAGGTTTTCAAATATCTCCACACCACACCAGAGTGGTCAGAAGGCCCTGAAAACATACAATCCTCTTCCTGGTGAAGTGGGCTCACTATGTGCTATGTAATTAGATGAGGTACTCCAAGTCCCGCAGCACCAGCACATGCTGCCACCATGTGTGGAAACACAAACTCACACTTTCTGATCCCCACCTCCAGGACCAGCCTCCACCCGGCCTGCTGCGGGTAACACTGCTTGCTCTCCTCACTTGGACTCCTCCACAGCTTCTGAACCACCGCACTGACACATACACACACACACACACACACACACACACACACACACACACACACACTCAACAACATGCACACACACAAATACACATGGGTGGTGTGCAGAAACCCGAAGTTACTAGTAACAGCCATGGAATAAGGTTATGATAGCTAAAAGTTAGTAGATCAATATGAACAAAACTATCTTCTTGGTGTACAGAGTTTTCCCTAAGACCAAAACAAAGGTTTGGGTATATAATTAGAAATCTAGGCCAGGCCATGGTAGCACACGCCTTTAATCCCAGCACTCGGGAGGCAGAGGCAGGCGGATCTCCGTGAGTTCGAGGCCAGCCTTGTCTACAGAGCAAGTTCCAGGAAAGGTGCAAAGCTACACAGAGAAATCCTGTCTCGGAAAAAAACAAAAGAAATGCAGGCAGGTGTGTGTAGTGCTGAGGAATGAGCCCAGGGCCTTGTACATACTAGGAAAGACTCCACTGTTGAGAACGCCAAGTCTGAGAACTTAAAACATAAAAATCAAAATCTAAGTACAGCTCCCAAATGAAAATAACCAAGTTCTTCCGACTTTTCCATTACCTCCCTCACAATCCATTATCCACACTTTACCTACTCCAACAATGCAAAGAAGTCAGTAGTCACTTGGACGTTCTCACAAGGCGTCCCAGTAAGCCTCCGAGGCACACAGAACAGTGTGATAAGGTACATCCCAGCATACTTGACAGAGAAGCCTCCAATAAGCTCACGGAAAAAATGAAAGCCAAGAGCCAAGCACCGCAGACATCTGCAAGTCCCTTTTCTACTGACACCCTTCCTATTCCAAGTACTTAATTTTTCCATTACGTAAGTTCTGTATCGTGCCTCTCTCTTTTCCTTCCTTTCCTCTGCTTACTCTCTCCCCTCCTCCAGCACAATTCTGTGGTAGGACAGTAAACTGGTTCTCCTCTTGAGAACACCACCTAACAAGGTGCTGCATACAGCCACTCCTCTGGAGCAATGCATCAAGAAGGCTACAGGAATGTTTACTGCGGCACCGGTAGGAACAGCAAAGGACCTGGAATCAGCCTAGACCTTTAGCAACTGTAGAACAGTATACAGTCCGTGTGGCGGGGGCTGTAAGTGCAGCACTCAGGAGCCTAGGGAGGAGGACCAGGAGGAGGGCCATCCCGGAGCATCCTCGGCTACACAGCGAGCTTCACTGCAGCCTCGTCACGTGAGACCCTGTCTCACAGTCAGGAAACACTGCACAGCCGTTGGAAGTGAATGTGCTAGTTACATTTATCGGCACGACTACAAAACAGAATGTACTAGGGTCTCAGTTAAATGCGAGATAGTTCTT